AAGTCGCTCCGACTCCGCTCCAGCTCCACTGTTCTGATGAGTCGCTCAGCTCCGCTCCGCTCCATGGAGCGGAGCTAGCTCCAAGGAGCGGCCGCTCCGGAGTCGGAGCTGCCCATCTCTGCTTCGGATCATGTAACTTTGCGCCAAGATCTTCGAGATCTTGTTCAAACTTCGTGCATTGATTACATTTTCGAATACAATATAGGACAATGGTTTCAATAAATTGAATTTGCCTGTTTTCTATTAGAGTCATTTTCACTAATAACAATACTAAAAAAATAATATGACTTGATTGATTCGTTTCTCAGTTATTTTACAATCGATTAAAGTTATTCTTACATATATATAATCCTTGGAGTGCCCTCTTTGGAATGGTGAAACAGCCATCTTAAACTGAGTTGTAGTCGCGGAGAAATCAGCGGTCTACGAAAAGAACCGGCATGTACTGTTTTTAGGAGTCGTTTCCCTAATAACAATACTCTAGGAAAATTCAAGCAAATTAATCTTTCTCAAGAAAAAAACTTTTTTCAAGTGTCCTGTAAGAGATACAGGAAAAATGTCTGTAGCAATTTTGTAGAGCGTGTCGAGCTCTATCTAATTTTAAAGGTTCACGAGAAACAAATTTTCACTTATTGAGATACAAAATTGAAGAGAAGACATCTAGCATCGTTACAAAAAAAGTGACTCTAATAACAACAGAGCTGCCTTAATGAAGGTGTAGGCGTAGGTGGGTGTAGATATGAGTTTGACTGAAATAATGGTACCTACGCCCACACCCACACTCTCGTATAATACTTGAAATCTTCCAAAAAATTTCTAAACACCCTCAGCCTCACGCTGAAATGAAATTATTCCCACAATCATGCAGTCACATAATATTTGCTTTTCTTCTGAGTAACTTCATCTTACTAAGGGAGCAGAAAAAATCGAAAGAATCGCAATGCCATAACTAACATCTATGTTGAAAAAAAATCAACGAATGCCACCGAAAATACGAGATAAACAAGAAAAAAATTCCATCGTTTTTCAGTCAAGCTGCTGAAAGTGCTTCTATTATAAAAAAAAGTGTCTCATAACGAACAACGTATTAGAAAGCTTAGACAAATCAAATTTTTATTATTCATTCACAACATCGAACATAATTAGGTAAGTCGAAAAATCGCATACATCGATAACATCTGACACTGAAGATACTGTCGGCTGATCATGAATTCTTGAATGGCTAATATCAGATACTAAGTAGTAACAATACACGCAAATGGCCGATATAAAACTCTGCCTTATAAGAATATCGTCAAAAGCAAATATTGAGTTCATTAATCCTTCATTCACGATACACTTAATGAATACTTTGACAGATGTTTTTTCATCATTGACTACAACCCGTACAATGACTCATTTATAGTTTCTTCGCATCGAAAACATTATTCTTTATTATAACGAAAAATAAAAATAAACTACCACCCCTAATAATCACTCATAGTTTTTCTTTGCGGCAGGGTGAGGGTAAGGGTGTATAAGATTTCATAATACCTTGAAATTCTTATCCCTGTAACTATATAAAGCGCATATAGGTGAGTTTTGTTGTTGCAGTTAAAATCTCGTCGTTATATTGACATAAAACAAAATGGCTTCAATCGATCAATACGAGTCGTTGAAAAGTAATGGTACATGGCAAGATCGTTTGACTTATGTTGTATCATTGTCTGATAAGAATGAAATCGAAAATCATTTAAAAAAATCGGCATCGACGTCGTACGATGATTTACAGATGCTTATTTTTCTATCATGGTTAACAAAGAATGATAAAAATCTCTTGGAAATATTCAAATCACCTTCATTTCCAACAAGACAACGAGCTACCGCTTGTCAACGTTGGCTTCTGCTACAAAAAAATGAAAAGCAAATTCTTGAGTTCCTCGAAACTTCCATTAATGATAAAACGATACCTCGATAGTAAGTTTATTTTTGATCACTATTCATCATAAAAACATGCGCTCGTTTGTTCTGGCTAGTTTAAAACAAAAAATGGTGAAAAAACTCTGCCATATCGATGTTTTGAGAAAATCTCCTTCATTTTTTTATGATGCAGTTTGCCATTTAATCGACCCAAATAATTATAGTCGATACAATCTTGCTCCTTATTTACTACCTTTTTGTAAAACCGATCAGATTATTGATCTTTTATCTCGATGGTCAATAAAAGGTTTTGAACAAATTGATCGTTCAACGACATTGCGTTCAAGATTAATCGATCTTCAACCTTCGATTGTTATTCAACTCATGAAAGCTGATTTAGATGCATTGAAAGCTCATTCAGAAAAATCTGCCGATTATTTTCAAGGAAAGACAACTTTAATGAATTCACTGTCGAAGAAGGTACCAAAAGAAGTAGTCTGTTTAGCAGTTGAATATTTAAATCAATTACAACCGTCGATTCGATCAATACCAGCATTTATAGCGTCGCATCTGACATCTTTTTTTAAGAAAGCTCCTAATGAAATGATTCACTTGATCACCACGATAGCTTCGATTCAACCAGGTTTTTGTTTTAGTTACTTCTTACTTGAGACATCAATTCTTCTTTGAAAATTTATTTAGGTACATTACGTCGCAGTAATTCTTCGAGATACAGTTCTCAAGAAAACAATTCATTATCGTTGCCCCGTTCATTCTCCGTTGAAAGTCACGTTCGTCTATTTCTTGCTTTATACAATACTTGTAAATGGTCGTCGAATAATACTGTTCAAATTTTTCGCTTAATGTTAAAGAGTAAAAACGAAAAGATTAGTATCTCTCGGCTACAAAAAGAGCGCAAGTGGGTGATTGATAATATTATAGAAAAGCATATTGGAGAAGAATTATTTTTAAAAAAATTATTAGAAGAAGGTAGAAAAGCGGATCTTGACCTCTTCGAAAAATACCCAGAAATTACAACACCCCTTTCAATTCATTTATTAGCACAGCATGAAAGTAATAACATCGTAACAGATAGTACACGTTTAGAATTTATCCGCTATCAATCAATGACACAAAATCTGTACGATAAATTTTTATTACTAATGAAAAATACAGGTTCCGATGTATTTCAACGTCAAAAAAATTATGTGCTGCTTTTTCAATGTGCTTTGTTAACGAATCAACAATTTGTTAAAACTGTCCTTCAATTCATTGCAAAAAGATTTGCCAATGAACAATTTATCGTTATTGAATCTTTTTTTAACTATTTAACTTCAGCGCAGGCGAAATTACATTTTCAAATTTTACCAGATAATCTTGAATCAATTGAAACAATCATAAATATAGCAATGAATCATTTGCAAAAATCGTATTGTATGCGATATGCAATTAGTAAGTACGGTGCAAATTTACTACAATGTGTTGCATATTATCGAAACCAGGAAGCGAAGAAAATCATACAAGAATTCGCTTGGAAAATTATAAAAAAGTAAGATATGAATATTTTGTTAGACAGTGATCCAATAAAATCTCTCGAAGGATTTAAGTTGATGTTAATATATCTTTAAAGTTGTTAGATTCTTAATATATAGATTTTCAAGAGACTCAAAGTTTTGGAAAAGTTATATGTTCGAATTTTGCCATTTTATCTAAGTTTTCAACATTTTTAGATACTACTCCTGTGGTGATTCTGCGTTTCGTAGTGCAAATATACCTAAATCATATACAGAAACATGGCGTCAAATTGCAGATTTTCATATTTCGGACATCTATCCGGTACTTATTTCAGAATCCAAATTCAGCACATTGAACGATTCATTGGATATGTTTAAAACTAACGTTTCATATTTATCTCAAATTGATTCATTCATAAATTCGTTTTTTACGAAAACTCTACTTGAATCGGAAAAAATTCAATCAGAATTACAAGTCAGCCATCTTACTAAAATGATTGACTTATTTTTAAAAAATCGTTCAACTCGATTCGAACGAGTCAATCATTTGATCAATAAAATCGATAAAGTGTTCTTTATGCATGAAACGGTTCAGCGAATCGCTGTATGTTCTCAACAGCATCGACAACTCATAGATACATTATTGCAAGATGATAAATGTCTTACGCTAGAAAAATTATTGAAAGAATCAAATAATTTTTTAAAAAGTATGGTTCATGAGATAGGACATTACAAAGTACCTGGGCTTGACACTGACATATTGGATTCATCTCTTCATCGATTAACTGGAAAACAACAAGAACATATTACAAATATTATTTTGAATGATTACCTTGTGGTAATTATTTTAAAGTTAAATAAATATAAATACATTACTTCTCTTTTATCCTAGGATGCAGGTGTATCGACATTGAGGAAATTAAAACTATTGCGTATCTTTCGTCGTCTCACATGCACATATAACAAAACTCTCGAATGTTTTCATGCAAAATTCTATTCTTCATCGACCGTAGAAGAGATTGAAGAAAATCCTGGTCCGCGTACTCGTTATTTTGTTCCAAAAACATTTGATAAAGTTATTGTGTGTTTACCGGGTACATTTGATTTAGATGAAGAATCTTTATTAAAGCAATTTCATCTATTGAAAACAAAATTAAATGCATCGAATGCAATGTTCGTTGCAGATACTATGTTAAGTATCTCACGCAGAATCAATGAAGAATTATTCTTGAAATCTTATCTTGAATTGCTTCGTGATGAACAACTTCCAAAGCTTGGTAAATCGACTCCTTTTTCATAATTTTTTATTCAATAGTTTCTGTTCATTCAGGTATAACAGCTTACAAAGAAGTTCTTCGTTTACTGATATTATACTCATCGGATCCAACTTTAGTAGAAACTGATATAAAACCCTTATGGGACAGTCATCCACATCAAGATCTTCGTGCATGCCTCATTTTGATTTTACTTCATTTCGTAGGCAATCATAATAATTCGGACGATATTGATAAAGCTATTTGGCAAATTCTCGAACAAGCTGCTGAAGATGATTATCTTATTATTGTACAATCGTTATTTGCTTTTCATCAAAAACATAGTCGTCGACGATTACCACGTTCGAAAAGAGGAACTAGCTGTTGGCCATTAACACGTTGGAAAAACTTATCAAATCCTTTATATGAAGAATTTGTCAATCGAATACAATTGAAAGTATTAGATCATCCAACATCCTTGAATGCACGTTCATGGGCATGGGATAATATTGAATATGAACATTGTGATATAAACGAAGTGTTTGACAAGGCTCAAAAGTTATGCATTCAGTTCGATGAAACGGGAAATAAACTATGGGAACAAGCATTTAACAAAATTATTCTTCTCTATCGAGAAAATAAGATGTAAGTAGAAAAGAGACAAAGAAAGGATTAAAGAAGAATGAAAAAATTGATGTTGTTTCTTTTTAATAGATCGTCAATAAATAAACTTATTGATTTTATCAAAAAAGTCGCATCACTGCGAGAAGGCATTGACTTACAGGAAAATGCAATTGACTGTCGACATGATTTACCAGCATACCGTCGTCTTGACACAATTTTAGGGGTACTCATAAATTCTTTAGGAAGCTTTAATAATGAAAAACAACTCGCTCTTCGTGCATTTGCACCAATTATTATTCAATTGGATAAGACATTGGCTTCGTACGCGGGAGAAATCTTAATGAAAACAGCTCAAAATAAAGAAGATATGGAAAATCAAATCAAATTTCTTCAAGAGAATTTGCCTGAAAATTTCTTCGAATATCTATTGATGGATTTATCTCATTTACTTACATATGAATCTACTGATTATTTCATTAGCAAAATGGACATTGATGAAAAACTTGCTTTTGCCGAATGGTTTATTAATGAAAAAAATCGGCCGCTGTTTGTCTACAATTTTCTCACTGAATATGTTTTCGATCACAAAGATGTTAATAGACAACAATGTCAAAAGATTATACGAAGTTGGAGACAAAGTGAAAATCTACGTCTGAAACAAAAAGCAATGGACTATTGTGTGCCTTGGGATAAAAACACGCCATAGATGATAAAGACAACGATTCTCTTATGTTTGATTAAGACATTTTTCTTAATTGAACAACTTTGAGAGAGTAGCAAAACTTCTTTTCCTTAAACATTAGATCTGATTATTTTAAGATTGAATATATCGATAAAAAGATAAAATATCGAGATTCTTGGCTGATTTCATTTTATTTGTCTTTAAGAAAACTAGTTAATCATAAATGTAAAATAGAATTAATTTCATTTTCTTCTACTTAAAAAAAAGTACACTATTGATTTGATGTTAATGTTGAAACCCTTTGAACGGTGATGCAATCATGTGTTGCATCGCTTACTTTTGTGCCCATGGCATAACCTGCATTTGAATTGAATGAAGCTTTAGCAAATTTATCATCAGGTAGAGCGATCTAAAATAATACCAATAAAATTATAACGATGAATTCGATCGACATAGCTACTTCATACTTTGAAATCATAAAACATTCCATAACCTAGTACACGACAAACAGATAGGGGTTTCAATTGAAAATCAGATGGAAATGTCTTTCGTAATTTACCATCGATAAGCTTCTCAAACTAAAAGCGCAAACTAGTCGAAATAAACTACAATTCAGCATCATATGTGATTTACCGATTGATAAACTAGAAGATCGTTATCGTCCAAGGATGAAAACGAAGACATGTTGTTTGGTATCGATCACTTGAACTGCTTTTATTTCAGAAAATTACAAATGCAAGCGAATAATATTTGCGAAATTGATATATAAAGGGGTTGATGCATGTTTTATTTTTATGCTTAACTCAACGAATTGGCAAATTATTGGCGTATATAATAGTTTCATTTGTATGGTCTTCAGATTGTGCCAAAAAGCTGTTAAACAGCAATTTTGATTCTTGTTCTAATAAATGTACGTACTCTTATTAACGTTTTTGTAATAATGTGAGTCGCTTTTTCTACAGTAAATATTTTCATATATCGTTATTGGCCATGATGATAAACAGAAAATAAATTTTTAAGAACTCGTATACACTGCGACTGACTAGTTCCAAAATATTAATATAAATTGATTGTATGTCAGATAAAAAGAATTGATTTTTATTGAAAAATTATTTCAACTCATTAAAATTATTTTTTAACTGCGAACATCGATTTTGAGTAAAATATATTTCATTTTTTTCCCTCACGCACATTGAGTTTTGGAATATGGTCACGTTTCATGCGCTGAAAACGAAGAAAAAAAGCGTGTTTTAGTATTGATATTCACATCTACAATATGATGCTATGATAGAGCCCAGATAAGTGAAGTGTTCAACTTGTTTCATTGACTCTTCATTTATTTTCGCATTGCATATTGGTGGATTTTTATTTATTTTTTTGAAATATTAGCTAGTGCATTCTGATTTATTAATATTCAGTGATAATCCCATTTCTATGTTATCCCCACAAACCGTATCAATTATTCTTTGGAGATCATCATTATATTTAAGATTAGGGAGGTGTTGGGAGATAGAACACAGCTTTCCATGGCGCCTCTACATTAATCGCAAGTCTTTTATCATTTGTTTATCGATTTTAAAATGATATCAACACCTTGTTCATCTAGACTTTCAATCATTTCAGCAGATATTTCACCAGTGCCTGGTGCCTTACCACTTTTCCTTGATTTTATGGCATGTCTCATTTCATCTTTCATAATTCAATGTGCTCCTATACACTTTGTGATTATCAACAAGTTCTTTTATTTATTCGAACCACCTGTTCAATATTTGAGACATGCGCGAATACAATTGTAAATTGCAATGGCAAAATCAGACTTCACTAGCTCTTCAAAGCTGGAATTTTACTACCTTGTGATAGCTTGTAATACGCCTTTGTTCTGGGGGAGTGGTCTATATGTATTTTCATGATTGCATACCCCCATTGAAAGGTATTTCAAGGCATTTTAAACCATTGAAAAGTAGTAAAGTTCTAACTTTCAAGAGGTAGTAGTGTGTCTGATTTTGTCATTACCGTTTGTAATTGTGTTCGCGCACCCCTCGTGTACAAAAACGGTTTTAAAATACATTTTCGATGAACGATTGATGGACCTGATTCCTGTGGATGTGGGTGGGTGTGTGGGTGTCGAGGTGTATTCAGAGATGATCAAGGGTGTGGGTGTAGGGTGTGGGGTAGGACTTGATGGACCTGGGTGGGTAGGTGAGTTTGAATCTGTCTACAAGAGTCAATACAGCAATATTCCACACCCACCACGATACCACACGCAAAGGGAGACCCACACCCCAAAACATTTTCTTTTCTTTACTAATCAAATAAATTCGACTGACGAAGAACACTACTGTCATCGTTTCATAAATTAAAGAATCTTTTGTGTATGTTGATATATTCCATAGAAACCTTACTGTTCCACACGTGCAGTAAAAGGGCCTCTTATAACAAAGGTGTGTTTTTTATGTATCGCAGATTCATTTTTGCTCCCAAAGCAGAACACATAGTTAACAAGAAAGGAATTACGATTCCAAACAGAAAATAGGCTATTGGCGAAAGGATCTGCCCTTGCGTTTCGAGCGAACACTAAAAATTGACCAAGTGAGTAATGGATAACAGGCGCATTTTTTCTCTCTTTCAACTGTCCATTTAATTATATCCTCGTTAAAGAAATGGTAACACATCGTAAAAGTTCGAATCGAATTAACCCCGATCGTTTACAAAATGTAATTCAACTGTCAATACATAGCGTAAACAACAGAACTTCTCATAATCAGCCATTAAGGCAATCGGTAAATTTTCTTAATCACTATTTCACTGTAACTTCCATGATTAACATCAATGATTTCTTCATTACAGTTACCCGAGCACAAATCAAAAACTATTTCAGCGCGTCACTGGTACGACACATCAAAATCGACGCATAGCGATATGCAGGCCAGTAAAATTTCGAAGAGACATTCTCAACACCGAGTAATTACATAAATCACTTCATCGTGAATTCGCAAAAAGAAATTTTGTTTTTGATTATGATAGAAACGTCGACATCGATCACATGGCGACCATGTTCTACAGCAAATGAATAATGATAAACCTGGAATCGATACACAAGTTGTTGAATTCCATGATTTTTCTTCACCAGTGCACACAGCTGGTATGTACGCATGAATGTATCTTTCCATACATCAATATTTGGTCTGCATCTGGGCATTGTGTAGAAGGATACGTTTTTCTCAAGATATTGAACAATTTCGATTTTCTGCTCATTTCCTACGAGCTCACTAGCGGAGTGAATGTTGAAAATTTTTGTAATTGTGATAATATTTCAGCATATCCACGCCGCTTCCATTATAGTACAAAAGAACTTCTGTTCAACGTCGTCTTAATTCAGTCACCATACCGAATGTTCCCAAAGCGCTGCTTGCATCTAATTTTACTTCCTTTTACAAATCTTTCTCATCAATAAACCGATTAGTTAGATTGCCGAAATACTATTATAGGTCCAAAAGCAGAATCACCGCAACCGGTAACGTCACATTCTGGTAAATTAGCCGAAACATCACTTGTACCACAAGATAAAACTTCAACGAAGGTAAAAACAAATTTTCACGCTTTCAGATAGTTACAACACGTTAAGTAGGAAAGAATGCATACGCATTATCTTGTCACCGTTCTGATAGTAACGTTCATGAAAAATACGTTATCAAGAGATTAAGAGAATACTGAGGCGTCTTCGGAAACAATGAAGATTCATTTTACTCGACTTTAGCACAGAGTCCTCTGTGCCATGTGAACACGCCGAAAAAGAATATCGAATTGTACTCTGTTTGTAGACAATCGAGATGTCACATTCATCGAACTCCTTCGACCAACAACGCAAAGCACTAGTGACTACTCCGAAACAGAAAAATAGAAAATTCAAGTAAACATTTGAATTATTGATTATTTTGAATGAAGATCTGTTTAGATACTGCCGAAGATTGACTGGATCCAGTTTGGCATTGTGTATATCTTTTACTCTAATGGGTATTTTACTAGCTGCCACATTAACCGCAGCTCTAGTCATGAATTTCGCATTTTCACAGCCAGGCATTACGAGTAAGCGCTTATCAGATAACGATAAATGACTTCGCTAATTAAACGTGAAATGAGAAGATTCGTGACGAAAATTGCACAAACAAAATTTACATTTTAGTATAATATAGCAGATAAATTCGTCTTATCATGTATGTGTTTTTTTCTAAAGTACGTCATTATCTCTGAAATATAAAAAATGTCCATACGTATTCGAAATCACTCTGGCTTTTCAAGCTTAATAGATCTATCAAACAGCTGATCATTTTTATGTTTGTCTTTCTTTTATAGATCCTACGTCAACTACGTCCGCTATTACCTCGACTACAAGCACGGGTGAGTTATTTTTATCATTTACACTAAAGAACTGTAATCTAATTCCCGACGAACATATACATTGATAGAGTCGACTTTTAATCATGATTACCTTTATGCTTTCCTCGTTGTAGGTTCGACGACAACTGCCTCATCTACTACCTCGTCGACAAGCACGAGTAAGCTATTTTAATGTTCATGATGTCGTTTGTACTCTACTCTGTGTAGGTTCTACATCAACAACATCATCGTCTACTACGTCTACAAGCACTAGTGAGTATTTTCTATTCTTCAATTATGTCAGAAAGAATGCACTACGCATCTTAAAGAATTAGATCCATAGTTGTAATAGCTGACAACATTAGATGAAAAATTTTGCAAAATCCATATTTTTTATTCCGTCATGTGCAATATTGGATTTAATGTATTCATGATACTCTTTATTTTTATATTTTTTGTAGGTTCTACATCAACCACTACGTCGTCCACAACGTCTACAAGTAGTAGTAAGTCATTTCCTCGTTTTGACTCAAGAACTGTATTCTGCCTCGCGATGAGGTACGTATTCTATGAGTTTACTTTTTGCCAATTCGAAACAAGAAAATTGTAATGAATGATTACAGATTATGTTTACACTGTTTTGTAGGTTCAACATCAGACACTTCATCGACTACTTCGTCTACAAGCACTAGTGAGTCGTTGTATGGTTTTCTTAGTTAGCTACGGTTAAAGAATGTTCTACGTATACTGGTCGAGTATTAAAAATAAACTCACCTAAAAAATTGTCAGTAGATTATACTATATTCAATCAAACTGATACTTCTTTAGTGATGCGCAAAAATTATCTGTCAACTAGTGGAGCGTTTCTCTACTTAAAATTATTTTAATGTTTGTCTGCTCATAGGTTCAGCATCAACTACGGCAACGACTACATCGTCTACAACCAGTAGTGAGTTCGTTATTTTGATGTATTGCAAAACTCACTATAATTGCCGACTTGTCTTTTGATAGGTACATCATTTCCAATAACTTGGAACTCGACGGCGGAAACAATAGCTGGCATAGCAGCAGGCACGGCGGGTGTCACTGCAAATGAGTTATATTACCCTTACGGTATGGCATTAGATTCAGCAAACTCACTCTATGTTGCTGATTACCATAACAATCGAATTCAAAAATGGTTGAGTGGAGCAACAAATGGAACCACGATAGCGGGCCAATCAAGTGGAGTAGCTGGAGCATCGTCAACTGCCTTAACTATGCCGGTCGCTATTGTGCTCGATTCTGCTAATAACATGTATTTCACCGATCGAGGTAATCATAGAGTGATGTATTGGACTAATGGTGCATCGTCTGGTACGACTATCGCCGGCACGACAGGTAACAATTCTTTTTCAGCAACATCAATCATAAAGTTATATTAGTTAGATCTTGAGATCAATTATCCATTAATAGTGGCGAATGCATGCCAGTACTGTTTGAGCCTTTTCATTTTTGATACTCACATTCTCCTGATTAAAATTGTTGAGACATGTACAAATTTATCTCAGCATTTGACATATACTTGCTTGTAATCATAAAGTGCATTAATCCCATAGATGGACTGTAATCTCATGTTCTATCTAATAAACTATTGAAACTCATGCTGTTACTCATGTTCAGGTGTCTCCGGAAGTGCTAACAATCAATTTTATATGCCTTCTGATCTGACACGAATCGCGAGTACTAATACACTTTACATCGCCGACACATTCAATAATCGTATAATGCGATATCTATCAGGTGCATCATCTGGTACTGTAGTGGCTGGTGGCAATGGAGCAGGAAATGCAAATACACAATTGAACCTTCCATTTAGTTTTGCCTTTGATTCATCATCAAACAGTTTTATAATCGCAAATTACAATGCTCATTCTGTCGTTCGTTGGGTATTAGGAGCTTCGAGCTGGACACTTATTGCAGGTGTTGTTGGATCAGCGGGTAGCACTTCGACAAGTTTCAACGCACCATTGAGTGTAGTACTAGATTCCATGAATAATATGTTCATTGCTGACACGAACAATGATCGTATTCAATTCTTCTTGGCTGGCCAATCAAATGGCACAACTATAGCAGGTATTACTGGCTTGCCTGGTACTGCCCATACACAACTAAATGTTCCATATTGGGCAATTATCGATAACCAATACAATTTGTATGTGGCTGATACATTTAATGACCGAGTACAAAAGTTTCACTATTACTAAATACAAACAAAAAATGGCAAAATGAATGTAATGAACTGCCTTTGCCAATGCTCATTTTCGTCAATAATATTAGATTCTCGTGAGAGAAGACTATCGCAAACTGAAATATGAATTATTAGCACGTCACTAAAACTCATCTTACAATGTAAATTCCTCTTTTTTTTATTTATCCCAATCGAATTCTATTCATTTGTGTAAAAGAAGGAAGAAAGCGTGTTGGGCTGTCTTAATTGCTTTTCTTCCAAATCTATTGAGTCATCTAGAGAACATGAAGGTATAATCATTCGATCATCATTGATTGGATTATTGATGTCATCGTGAGTTATCTTCAAACACATACTGAACAAGAAATTGAATATTTATGCTGTCCTACAGTATGGGTTTTCGTTTGATAGACATTTTTTTAGAACATATTTTAATAATATAACAATTCATTTAATATACTGTGAGCTTTGATAGAACGAAGAGAGTGTGTGAAGATGTTGAGACTGATGGCGGCCTTGCCTTCCGCAAACCCAATGAAATATCGCATTGATCCGATGATTGTATCAGTCTGTAGGCGCGGCGAGGAATCCAGAATTCTGGTTCGACATTCAAATCAATGAACATCTCGATGCAGCTAAAAGCTCAGTGGTTGGTTAAATATTGATGGTAGAATGCTGAAAAACGAAAATCTGTTTGATGAGAGCATGCATGCTTATTGGTGCGTTCTGTGCATTCGTACCGCACTATATTCTGTGGATCAAAGCATAAAATAAATTTTGTTTTCTCACATACACACTCAATGAAAACTATTCCACCCTGATCTCTCAAGTTATTTCCAAATGATATGCACACGTCAATACATATTCTTGTAGCCGAGTGTCTGTCGTATGAAAATAATGGCCGAAAATTCTTATTCTTATTAACATGCTAATCAAATTTAATTATGTATTTGCGCTTGAAGATGAATGAAAGAAAATTAATAACCAACCTTACAAATGTCCCCTTTCAGTCGAAGTGTAAACATATACAACGAATCGTGCTGGATTTTGTTTTCTTTCATGGAGTTACAATAATCATAAAAAACAACACTAATCATGAGTCTATGAAATTCTCGGGACTCCCATAATAGTAGCGCGTCAATGGCTCATGAGCATGCTTCTCAGCCTTGGCTCGGTGATTCTGAACCATGGATACTCAAACAGTCACATCTGCTGTCTTCTGTTTTTGAGAATCAGTTTATAAAAAGAAGCTTAGGCGTTGATTATGCTTCAAAATGTTGGATGTTGAAAGCAAATACAAGATCGATACATGTATTTTAATGAATCAGTAAGTTTCTCGGCAATATTCGATCGACTTGTATCGAGAAAGAGAAAGTAATGTATTGATTATGTTTGTATCTCGTTTATCAATTCGAGTACTTCTTGCCAGCTTTGAGCTATTCTAACGGAATTGATAAAATCAGGTTGAAATTTTCGGGCTCCTTCAATTTTCTTCGGATCCAAACAAAACCATATTTTGAAAATAGAAGATGGAAAAGTACGTAATACTTGCATTCTATCATCAATCATGACATTCACTTTGTTATCTGTAGCGATCTTGATTTTGTCTTCATATTCTAGACAGTAATACACTTTGATATGAGATAAGTTGTATTTGTCTAACCATGCTTTCGTTTTTTGTTGGTAGTTTTCTTTATATTTCGATATGAATATGACTCTGTTCGAGGCACTTGTTGATAATTTTATGATAGATTTCACAGAATTTTCGATTGGTTCATCATTGGTGTGATCTTTTATCACACCACCAATATCACAAGCAATGACAGTAATCGGATGAGCACTCATAGCAAGAAATTATTGTCTAAAACGAAACCGTTGTTATGTATTTCACAACTACATTCTATATGAAAGAGTAGCATAGGTGGAGGGTAAACTCAAAGTTGGTCGACAGTAAAAATGTCGAAAGAAATTTATAAAAATTAAGTTAAAAATTCTAAACGAACGAGTGTTTTGAAAGATATTCGATGAATATGTTATTATTGTAGGATCGAGGGCGACTTATGTTCGTTTAAATTTATCATTGGTCTATCAGACATTGATCACTTAGTACAATGTAATAGAAAAGAATAAGAAAATGATTCTTCAATTATTCGTTATTCGAGTGATAAATATACATATGGAGACTGCCACGGAATCGACACGCAACATTAACAGTGATTTAAATTTCATTACTTCGAATAAGGGACAATCTCTTTTAATAATGAATCAATTCTGAACACGACACTTTTCATGAATACCTACTCAGTTTTCGACATTTTACTGTCGACCAAAGTTCAGAGATTCAATTTAGCATCGTATTCGACTAAAACCTGCCGATACTCATTTGAGCTGATTTACAACGTTCATAGTCATATTACTACTAGAACTTCGTATACCCTATCGAGTAGTATATTTCGATTAACGAGATCTCGAACCATACTCCGGAAATTTTGAAAAATTCAAAAACTCCTTGGTATCCTTTTTTGTAAAATGTGGTTATATTCACTTCGACCAATGTTCCATTCTCGTGCCTATGTTCCAAGTGGAACTCGACGAACTTTATCCAGTGGAATCCACATATTTTCCGCAGCTTGAAATTAGACTTCAGCGATGATAGAATAATGCCAAAGAAACCTAAAAAATCCTACTATGAGCTATGAAAAATCTGCGGATATCATTAAATAGATCCCCTAGATTTGTGTTTATATCATGAGTGGAACGCTTATAGTAAGGCCTTTAACGAATATGGGCAACTTTTAATCGAATATGGTGCTAGAATTTTATAGAAAAATACAGTATTTTGAGATTTTGGGACCATTATCATGGAGACGAAAAATCTGATTTTACAATTCGATGAAATTTGTTGAGATCTGTTTGGCACACGAGTATGATAATTGAAATATTTCTTAGAATGAATATTGACAGATTTAACAAAAGCAATTCCAGGATTTCTTTGGATTTTTCGAAATTGTAGGAGAACACTTCGAAATCTAGTTAATTCAAATTACCATTTAATAGAACATATGAAATTTCACTAGGAACATACGCACGCGCGTTGAAACATCAGCTCACAAGAGTATCAACAGGTTTTACTCAAATATGATACTAATTTCACTTACGTGTGAAAATCACGATTTTACTCCATCAAAACTAGCACAATATTACTACCACGGAAAAAATTAATGCAAATCGTATTTTTGATCTAAAACACAGAGTTAACGATCAGACGCAGTTCTCTTGGATATATATGAATATTACAAGAATAGACATTTCTAATACAAACAAGAATCCTAAAGCACAATATGAACTAGAAAATGCTGTCGATGAAGTTTTAAATAGTTTATCGTTAAGTGTTATTCAAGCATGTATTAAAAAGACTCAAAAAGTATTTAAAGAGTTTGTATCTTCATATTAGATTTTTATTTGTACTATAAATGTCTATTATTTTAATATTCATATATATCCAAAAAATTTCTTCCGACCATTGACTCTTTGTTTTAGATCAAAAATACGATTTCCATTAATTTTTTTTCGTGGTAGTTATATTCCTTCAAGAAGTATCCTTTTTCAAAAAATAATCGAGTTGATATGAATTTTTAACGCATAATCAAGAGAAATCCAGTTTCAAATTAGAAATCAACACAATCATTTCCAAGAAGAAAAAATGGAATGGATTTTAATGAAAGAAAAATCCTATTAGAGGGATTCGAACTTTAAAAAATCGAAGAGTCTGACAAAATCTTGAGGGTGTGAGGGTGGGTGTAGAGTGCACTCGTGGATCTACCATATAACATGTGCACACGCACATCCACACCCACACTCCGAAAAAATATTCTTTGCTCTCGAGTTTATGTCAATAATAAGTTTTTTTCGAATGGTAGATTTCTTTTTAATTTCAAATAGATTTTTTCTATTAATAACATTGGTATTTTAACATTTATGTAAACTAAACATATATATCGTGGAATGTCTGTACACATTTGTATAACAATTAAATTACGACCAGTGCCATAGTATTCAAACATAGTAGTAATAGAACTTACGTTATTGAGGTAATCATCTTATGTTGGATAAAAATTTGATTGACACATGCCTTGATTAATTATTGTTATTGAATATTCAAGCCAAAAGGTATATTGTTGCACATGCTAAAGCGATGATTGTGTTTAAAAAAACAGATGCTAAAATGACATACTATTGAAAACCTATTATTAATACCTCAAAGCTACGTAAAAGATAATTAAGAACAACGCCTTCAGCTTGATTCGCATTACCCTGAATTGCTGTTTGCATTATATATAATAATTCATCGGCACACATAGCAAAAATAAAAGCTGTGAATTTTCGATCAACACGAGAAAGAAAATCAATGGGCATTGGTGGCGCTCCATATCCATGTCATTTATCACACAATAAAGATATTCGCTTGGTTCCTATGATAAGTACAAAAATTAAAAAGCAAGTAATAGGAAACGTTATAGCATTAAATTCTTGTAAAGCTATTATGTGACAAAAAGAATTTTGCACATAATAAAGCGATTGATTAATCAAATATTTATTCACCGATTCATCGTGTATTGGCTGTATTAATGACCATTTTGCAACAAATATTGTCAAACAAGCAAGCAAACAGGATGATAAATCAACTGATTTCTGAGCACTTGTTATAGCAAGATCAACTATTGTTGGGTCTCGTGAGATTTCTCTATGGTTTATCAAATAAAAAAATATAATAAGGCAAAAGAAAACATAAGTAAATACTCACTGTTTTTTAGGTTCTTTGATTTCTCGTCTTCTATGGCGAATACATCGTATAATTTGTAAACCATAAAAAAAATAATCAGAAGCAAGCCTAATAAACAACCTAGAATAGTAACTTGTTTTCTACTACTTGTTAGTTCATCACATAATGTTCCATTCCACCAAAATTTACATTCGCACGTTCACTCACCTTTTCCATTATCACGACAATAGCCATACGAACTGCATGGATCATATGTTGAACAATCTTGAAAGTTGCAAGTCAAACAAATACATGATTAAGTTAAATATCCTTTTAGTTTGTCTTCCACTGAGAGCAGTAGCCAATAGAAAAGTCACAATACTAAGTACATTCAAGCGTATCACTCAATCGAATATATTTTTCAGTGAATAAAGTGCTTCTTTAAATAAAGTTTTCTTTTCGTTCTTTCTACGTAGTAACTATGCAAGAGCAACTAACGAAGAAAAAATATTCACTTCTGTCAACAATTTCACCTTTGATTTTTCTTGTCGATGACTTACAAACAAAAAAAAATGTAAACAGCAAAAAAGAACTATGCCTCAACCAAAATAAGTTGACAACACGTGAATTCTGCAGTTTTAGGTGTTCCTACTCTTTTTTTATTGATAAAAAAACTCACCAATTCGGATGCTACTGTGTGTATATGCAGGGAATCTTGTTTTCAGAAAGTCTAAAATGATGTAGGCTGAGGGTGGGTGTGAGTCTAGATGCGTTTCCTATATAACCATATGGAAATGCCCATACCACCCACACCCTCAAGATACTGACGTAGTTTTGAAATTTCTCAAAGTTTACTGATTCCTCACATTGAGGAAAACGAAGTCCCAACAGCGTTAGACAGATGATACTCTTAACTGGAACTATAAAATTAGTATCTGTATTGACACAAAGCTAAGTTAGTGTTTATTTACATGTTTATCACTAGTGTGAGATTACGGTATTGTTCGATGCTAAAAGAATTGTAACTGATCGATAGAATTTTTCGCTTTTTCGGTCACATAAACGAACGTATATCCATCGGACTGTTCGATGAAAACTTCGTCTTCTACTTGATCATATGATTGACTTGCTCGACCTTTGATAGTAAAAAATTTCACATCTCGTATTCATCTCGTTGAAAATAGCGGAGTATTTTGCCAAAACAATGTTACATGACTAAATTTTCCTCGAATTATAAATGTTCTCTCATCTTTCTCAAGTAGAAATCGCGAAACTTCGTCTTTTCGTCGAATACCATAAACTTGTGCTTCAATCACATGTTTTTTATCATAAGAAGATGAATAAAGAAAATGTATCCAATCTGTAGACTCATCATCATTCCGAGTTATTATTATATTGAGATAATTGGAGCATGTGAAGTTTTATATAGACCAACCATCGAGTGGATTACCTCCAGTACCACCAAGCTTTTTATCAGATTTGATTAATAAGGTACTTAATCAGCATTGTATGATATGTTTATTAAAACATAAATTAAATAATTCACCGTACTTTGCCCTTTCTTCAAATCTTTTATTTGACTATTTTGAGCTGTTTAATTGTGTGATTGGTCTATAATTGCTGCTCTAAATAAGTTGCTCTTTGCTTATTAAATCGTGTATGTGGAGTGTCGTGTGGCTATGATTATGGGCATGAATAAAAAAAAACCTGAACCCACACTCACACTCTAATCGAGAAAAAAACCCACATATATGAGTAATTGGCAATTCTAGTATTCAATATATGAAGGGAAATAATGAATGATATTTGTCTTTGCTCTCCCTGTCTTTTTCATTGCACCGTGACAACGGCTTATCTACCGTGATCTTTGCTCGTAATATGCGACTTGATCAAACAAGTCTGGTTTTCGTTAAAAAAAGAAGCGATAACAACTATTCGTTGTATGAAAGAACGCACTCGGTGAGAGACAAACATATAATGTTGTGATGTCTCATAACCAATGTGAATATTGGTGTTGTTTTTTTTGTAATATAAAAAGGTGAAGACTGATATGCGTGCAAATATCGATAAAAGCATGTCGACTATAATGCCCTATACGATTTTATTCTTCGCTATCGTTGTCCTAAGTCAACATAAATGCGTAGCAGGTAATGATAGTAACTGAATTGAATACGTGTTGTCACTAATAGAATTTTGGCGGATTTATTTAAAGAACGACGTTGCCGTTGTCTTTCAACCGACTCGACTTTTTGCCAAATAGTTCGGATTGGCAAATATTGAATGCATCTGTCGATGGACGTCTTATTTCAGCACAACCATCCGCTGCCGTTTGTGAATCGACTCCACCAAATGTGGATGCATGTAATATTGCTAAAGCTCAATGGTCAAATGCATCATGGCGTAGTGATCAAGTAGGTGCCATGCAAAATTCGAATTGAGAAAATGGTTCATGTTCAATTATTCCTGATAATATATCGTGCACTCAAGGATCTGTACCTATATATGCTGCTAATGCTATTTTACCTGAACACGTTCAAACAACTATAAGATTTGCTAGTAGAAGAAATCTTCGTTTAGCTATTAAAACAACTGGACATGATTATGTGGGCCGATCAACAGCAGCAGGGTCACTTCTTCTTTGACTTCACTATATGAAAAATATAACATTAATCAATCAATCAGTACGTATCATGTATTGATGAAGCTGTATCATATGCTGTTCGTGTGGGTGCCGGCGTTCAATGGGGTGAAGTATATGCATGTTTGGCTCAATACAATTTGATTGCAATCGGCGGAGCGTCGAGTACTGTGGGTGCCGCTGGTGGCTACTTACAAGGAGGTGGTCATTGGCCGTTAACACGCTGAAAAGGTTTGGCAACTGATAATGTACTCGAATTCGATGTTGTCACAGCGGATGGTCAACGTCGTACAGTGAATGATTGTCAAAATGCTGATCTATTTTGGGCATTACGAGGTGGAGATGGTGGAACTTTTGCCATTGTACTCTCAGTTGTTTTACGAGCTTTTCCATCACCATCGATTTTAGTCACTTATTACAACTTCGCTGCACCGAATGAAGATCGCTATGCTACTTTTCTTCGTGATTTTATTCGATTAATACCCACATTAGCCGATGATGGTTGGTCTGGTTATTTTTACATATCAGATACGAATATAAGTACGACTCTTGTTTGCCCAAATAGTAATATAACTGAAGTAAATGAAACATTCGATAAATTCTTAAATAATAATACAGACTTACAAATAATACACCCATCAGCACTTTCTTTTCCATCATTTTATGAATTTTTTTATAATGCATTTACACAATACAATCCCGCAGGTATCAACGTTCTACTTGGTTCTCGTCTAATACCCGAAAGTATTGTTCGAAATCAACCCGATCAGCTAGCTAAAATATTTAATCAAATTAAAGGTCAGAGTCATAATCAATCAATTCTTGTTGGACATCTTGTGGCTGGTGGACAGGTGTCTCATGTGAGAAATACTAGTGCTAATCCAGTATGGCGTACAAGTCTTCTTCACATGGCCTATGCACAGTTTTGGTCCGATGGAACATCTCTGAATGATCAACAAAAACATGCAGAACATGTTAGAAATCAAGTAAATATTCTACAAACAATGGTAGGTGGTGATCAATCAGGCTGTTATATGAATGAAGCCGATCCAAATGAACCAGATTGGCAACAAAAATATTTCGGTACCCAAGCAATTTATGATCGACTTAAAACAATTAAACAAACAGTTGATCCATCTGGATTATTTATATGTAGGAAGTGATGATTGGTCATCAGATTTAAATTGTCCAAAAACATCATCCTGTAACATTACAATTAGTAGTAAAATAGTTCTGCTTATAATGATAATCTTCGTATTTGTGTTCTTTTGAAATCTATACGGTGTGCTCTAAATATGAATGCGATAAAAACATTGAACATCTCCACTTTGCTTTAATCAATCGAACTGATCTTTTCCTCCATGAAAGACGAGATCAGTAATGAAAGCGGTTTCAATTTTTGAGGGTGCGGGTGTGGTTATGCGTTCTTTTTATCGATACCCACACTGACACCAACACCCGCAGTGGCACGCACACCATTTGTTTCGAAGAATTTCTATCGTTGCAAGTGCCATTTGAAAATTCGTGTTTCCGAGATAAAATATTGATATCATGGTAGTTTAACACCCACACACCCACTCGATACTCACGTACACACTCAATCCTAATGACCATGAGCAATCTGGTTGGCAATTATCGAATGTCTTTTCGACTTTCATATACTTTTCATAATTATTATTAATTGATATACAGTAATAGTTTCAGAATATACCTGACTATGGCGCTTAAATGAGACACGCAACGCGTCGTAGTAGCTGGGATTCTAAAATCCTCCTTTGAAATGATATCTCAAGATATTATGTATATACATTCATTCGCATATTTATTATCTTTATTTATTCTTGTTTAATGTAAAGTTTATATATGAAATACAAAAAGCATTATTGACTGTGAACCTGCTGTTGTTAGTATTTAGTGTCGATCCGTTTGACTTAACGCATGCATGTGAGAATTTAACAAATACTGGGAAGTTTTTCTTGCAAAAGATCTTCAATATGATAAGATGAAGCATTTTGAATTTTTTCATCGTTCCCATCATAGTATTCTGCCAAAAAATGATGATCACTGCCAGCATACTTTTTAATTTTAGCCATAAAATTAAAAATCGCTATTGTATTAGTTTGATCGTCAACATACCAAGCGATAAAGTGTTTTGTTCGTGCAATATTACCACCAGCAGTATATTCTTTGACATATTTGTCTTCGAATTTCATTACCTTTTTTTGTTCCGGCTGCTCTTAATTCAGTTTTGATACTGAGTGGAAAGTCATGCAATTGATGGTTAATATATGATTCGAGATTTTCATTTGAAAGTGTGATTTGATTAATTGTACCATTCTTTTTGGCTTTCCATGAACCATTCGGACAGTTTCTTTCATGCGTTTTACATGAATGATGATCGAACCAATTCCAATACCGTTTATTAATTTTCCTATTATTCTGATATTTGTGTATGGTCAAGAGGAAAGTGACTGATTTATGATTTTTGTGGGTTATGGTGATTTACGCTGATTTAAATCAGCTGTTTCCCCTTGCTTCATTCTCTTTACTCAAGTTCGTGTTTGATCAGAGATGCTTATGCTATCCTTCCAGATTTACCAAATCTAAAGTATTTGGAAATTATTTTATTCCTAAATAATCGCAGGATTCATCAACTGAAGTTCAAATATCTGAAACTGGGTCACTTCAAGGTGAAACTTCGTTGGTGTGGGTGTCGATCTTCTCATCACATTTACACCCACACCCTTGAAAAAATCCAATAACTTTCCGATCCGAATACTGCTTCCTTGCTCCGCTGATATTCTGTGTAGTGCTGTCTTTCTCCGCCTGAGGGGTCTGAGGGTGTGGGTGTGGGAAGAAGATCTACACCCACACCCATGCCCACATCCCGAATTAGTTGCAAATTTCTAAACCCTTTTAAGTTTCGCTGAGTACTTATATTTTTCAGTGCAACAAAGGACTGGGGACGTTTTGTGTTGATTTCGGCCCAATTGGAAATGAAGGTGGGTGCTTTCACGCAACTCCGCCCAGTTTATACACGACTTTCTGCTGGTATGATTTAACTATGCTAGTTTTGTAGCCCGTACCGAGTTGTGTAGGTGTCATGGCCGATGGCCATGATATAAATTTAGTTAGGATATATCTTCTATATTCTGCTTTGTGTTTCGTTATGGTATCATCCATTGCATTCTTTGCTGTTTTCTTTTTCTCTCTCTTGTCTCTCTCCATGTACTAAATTTACCCCTATGCAATAAAAGAAACGTCATCGGTATGTGATGAGATATGGGGTGGGGGTGCAAAAATCTCGCTTTTAAAATTTNGGGAAGAAAGTATGAAAGGAGAATATATAAAGGGATATACGTTTTGATATGTGTGTATTTTTTTCTTTCCCTTTTTTTGTGTTTTTCTTTTTCTGTCTTGTTTGCTTCTTATCAATTAAAAAAATTGAAATAAAGTTTTGAAAATGGAGTTAAAAGGAATAAATGGAAGTGAATTAACAGTAGGAAAACATATTTTGTTTCCTACGAGAGCATGCGCCAAGTTCTGCAGAGAGGGCTGAAAACCGACTTTTTGAAGGTGTGGATGTGACTCTGGGTAGGGTGTGGGTTTGAATGTGGAACTCTTCTTCGTGTATACACCCACACCCTCAAGAGGGGGTGGGGTTGTTAATGTCTGTAATGGTGGCCTATACTGGTTGCTAGTGTCTTTAATGGGCAGGTCTTGGTTATTTTGAATAGTCTGTGATGAATAAAAGGAAGAAATAATAGTCTAATTAGTGTAGTCTCTCATTAGCGCAAGAGTAAACTCATTAATGCCTGTAATGGGGGAGAGGAGGGTGAGATGGGTAGCCACCAAAAACCTCACCTTAAAACTTACACGCATCATTTTCTTCGAAAATATATGTGAGTTCCACAAAACGGTGAGTGAAATTTTAAAAGCGAGATTTTTGCACCCCCACCCCTTGAGTAGAGCGAGCGCGCATTGTTCCGTTCGCAAAAAGAATTGAAAAAAATGAATTTTACGATAGGAATAAGGGGTGGGTGTTGATAAAGAGTGTAACTAGACCCACACGCACACCCAAAATTTCTAGTATCACATACATGAATTTGATGCAGATTATTGTTCCTATTCGATTAATTTGATTCATTCAGATAAAATACCCAAGCACTTACTGAATGTCTCAATTGTAGAAAAAATTTTGTTCCGCCGGATGAATGTATAGAATGAAAACCGAATATTTTCAGCTTGATCGAAGTGTAGAATCAAGAAAATGTAAAACTAATTTACTTATAATCCTCGACTCATTTCATCGGTAATTTTGCTATCATGAAGTGATAAGGATATATTGCGTGGCACGTTTTGTTTACGAGGCTCGAGAGGAGTCCACGTGTTCTGTACTTGAATTTGAAGATAATAGAAAGTAAGGGTGATTGCTTTGTAGAAGATACAGTGAATTAAGCTTCTTAGTTGATTAGTAGCCTATAAACTCTAGTCCCTAAAGCATTTTTTCTATCTCAGTAGTTTCCTTTTAGCACGGTTGAATTAGTAAAAGTTGGAAGTTTACGCTATTCATGGTTCAGGTTTGACTGCATCTGAAAACTGGTTAGCTATTCTTTTTGCACCTCGCGCAAAGGCATAGAAGAGACCAGAAGTGCATACTATGTTAGAAAAAACTCGTCACACATACCAATATGTGCACTAATGGCTAGCTACGATGATTAGAAATTCTATCAGAGAATAATATAAAAACATTAGCTTATTTTCTAGACAAAAGAGTAAAAGATGAATCACAGCTATAATATAATCCTCTGTATTCGGATATATGTATTCTCTTTGATAATATCCTTACAAAAATAGTTCATCAATAAATAAAAAATCATCAGTTAATTTAGTTCAATGAATTCTTTCAAAATTTGTATATGATTATTCCACGTATTAGCAACATACAGATTCATTTCGGAATCAAATGCTACATCATAGGGAAATTTTAATTCACTATCTCCTTGACCTACTTGACCAGTACCAGCAATTGTAATACCAAATACTGCACCGGGACAAAACATTTGAATCCGATGATTGGAACTATTAGCAACATATGAATTACCATAATTATCAAGAATAAGTCCTTGTAGATAGAATAATTGAGCAGACATGTTGCCAGGGCAACCTAGAATGCTAGCATAAATATTACGATTTTCATAATCACCAATAATCCATTGAGTGATGGAATGAGAGTCTCCATTTGAAATGTAAAAAATGTTGTTTATTTCTTCTAAANCCCCCCCCCCACAGCAATTTCCGAAGGACTAGGGACAAAAAAGCCGTTGGAATAGAATACTGATGCCTCCAATATGCAAAACCTATGAGCGGATCAATCAAATACTATCTTTCATTTTACGACCCTTTCCTGAGGGAGAGTACAGGAAAAATTTTCAAAGAATTCTCGAATGCTTTCAGTAACACTGATGTAGTTCAGTCAGAAAGCGTCGCAGAGACCTCGACGACGTCTTATTTTGTAGAAAACTATTCGCTCTATAATTGTGTGTGGTTAAAACAAAATTTTTATAGTGGTTTGTAGATATTGATAAACAGAGACGTCAATTTTTTAGAGAATCTTTAGGCATCATTCGGTACTTTTGTCAGGGAAACTCTTAACATTAACACGTAATTGACCTTTCAACCTCAGAAGAGAATCTTCATCTTCTTCATGCCGACGAGTCTCATCATACGTTTCAACTTCTTTAGTGCCATAATACTTCAATCACTAATGTTGCAACTTTGTCTACATCCATATATTTTCTGTGTAGTTAATAACCAAAGACTCTGACCTTTCAGAATTCCATCGCAACTGAAAGAAGTAGTTGTGTCACATTGGATTATTTCTTTTGATTGTCTTGGATTTCCTGGTTCATGTAGACAAATATTCATGAATTATCAATCAGATTTTTCTATTCACATTTCTGAGTATGTTGCCATCGTGTGAACAGTGTTTTCATTGAAATACAACTCGTTTTTCAATTCAGTTCACATATTCCAAACATGCAATCAACAATATTTCGTTCTCTTTTCGAAGCCTTCTGGTAGCCGATATGCATTTATTCATAGTCTTTTGTTTTTACTTCAAAAATAAAATATTTTGATTTTGTTACTTGGATAGTAACAAATGATGTTTAAATTGAATAAAGGAGTATAGAAAATGCATTGTAAATGCGTTTTGATACATTTTTCATCATTTTCATTTTGTTGCCTATTAAAATAATCAAATTTAGTTTTGTTTTTGCTTCACAATTCTATATGAAACCGGATAGGATCGCCATCTATAAAAGTTATGTATGTGAACCATTTTCCTCATTTCGTCTCTGACTATATGAATGTTCGGAATAGAAGAAAATGAACGTAATATAAATCTTTTTTTATTTGTATATATATATATTTATTTATTTATTTATTTATTTATCCATTTCTTTAATTAATTATGCATTATATTACGATCGGTTCAATTAAACACTGCATATAAATTATATGCCGATCAATTTTGATATTTTCACAATCACTTGAATGAACTGTTAAATCAATGTCAATGAAGGTTAGAAATTTATGCGGACGACTATATTATCTCTTCTGGTTTAATCGGCTTAGAAAATCTGGTCGGATGACAGAAAATGCTTGGTTCGAATCAAGGAAGGGCATATATTTTTCGTTCTGTCACTAGACAAAAATTATTGTTCATTATATTAAAATGAACAATTTATCATTTCATTTGAATATTTTTCTATAGATGATCTGTTCATTTAATGCTATTAAAAACAATAAAAAGTACGTTTTTTAGTTGTTTAAAGATAGAAATTGCAAAAATAACACCGCTTACCCCCGCGTACCGAACACCTGCTCAAGGTCTCGCCCTATACAGGGGCCTCAGATTATCAAAAGCATGATTATTGCTCCTGGCTAGCCTATGTCGGCCTCAATCAATGGTATAGGGACAGACCTGAGCCATTATTATTAGAGACATTCGACACTTATATCCATCGTATCGATGAATATTGGCGTGTGCCTGTATACAGATTCAAACATGGGGATTATGGCTCGTGACACCATTAGCCCGCTTCTCTATCCGATGCATTTATTACGCGGTTAAACTTTTGAGATATATGTTAGACGGCGTAATATGATTAAAAATAATATTCGAACAATACATTTTTTATTTGAAAAAGAGAAAAAAAGAATGATATAGGTCGAATTGTTTTAAAAGATATGTTTGTTCATAATGACGACTAAGTTTTTTTTATCGATAGTGTACTTATGAATAACCATGAAGATATTCAATTGGTGAAATCTAGGGACATATTGTTCGATAGTATATTCATTTCGATTGGTAAAATAGAACGCCTTTGATCGGAAACTATTTAAACTTGTGCACGGAGAGAAATCAGTATCAAATGATCGTATTTATCTCTTATGGATGAAGATAAACAGTGTAATCACATGCTATACATAGTTTATGTGCTTGTACCACAAGTAAGTCGAAATTTGTTATTGTTGTTGTTGTTATCATTCTAGAAATTACCACTTCGTTTTTCACATTTGATCTATCAGCTTTGTTGTTCTTATTTTATCTAAGTTTGCTGTTGCTTATGGATACTTCGTCTCCACCGATCTTATCAAATGATGTTCAAAACGTTCTTGATCGTAAGGAATAACAAAGTGACACGGTGAAAGCGACAGGTTATATCTTTTTTATTTTATTTACAAGGAATCTACATCATCAGTGATTCTCTATGCTACTGCTACAACTACTCCACAATTTAATCAGCAACCAGTTAGTGTAGATACACAGGACGATCTTTCACAATATAACTATGATCATAAAGGTAGGCAGAAAGAAATAATGGAAAGAACTCAAATAGATAATGAAGTGATTTTTTTTTGAATTAACATTTATGTATGTCTAAATTAGATAAACAAACAATTGCACGAGAAAATCAATTTAATTTGGAGGGTAAAAATACGGCAATACGTCGTAAAAAGAAAAATCCTCGTATGTATACAGATTCGTTTGCTATAACTTGTTGGTCAAATGTAACTAGTAAGAATATACATCTATATAAGAGATCATTGGCTATCTTGTTTTGGAAAACATGATTGTCTTTCTAATCGATTTTTTCTTTGTATAGAAGAAAAACTTCTCGAATGTACCGTTGGAGGTTTTGATCGAGCTAGTATTCAATATGTATGTGTGATGAGTGAGATTGGAACTAAACAAACAAGGTCACACATCTTCATGTACAGATCAGTTTGAAAGAGAAAAAGGATAAAAAGACAGTTGGTTTTTGGACAAACACGCCGGTACGACTCGTAGAAATACATAATTTTGACTCTTACCGATCGCTGACATTTGAAATAAGTGTACATTGTAATTATCAGATAACATCGAACAATCATGCTTGGAATTGATATATCCAGAAAGATAAAATCTTTCTTGAACAACTTTGCTTGAATTCTAAGAACGAAATGTTTTTCGTAATTGAATGACAAATAAGAAAATACTTCTATCTTTATATAGATGGTAACTACGTCGAGTTTGGTACATTCCGTAGTAAAGGCACACATTCAGATCCAAATTGTTCTTCAACACCAATCAATCCATTTCTTGATGTCAGCAATCGTTCGATGAGGAAGATTATTATCCGGGCTTAAGCTGAAGAACGCCGGAAACGTACAGACGAGATTGCTCACAAAGTTCTATGTATTGCTGAAACAAGTGTTAGTCAGGCTATGGAAGAAATTCGAAAGATACTTCCATATGAATTTATGCAACGTAGTGATAATTTAGTTTCGTTTAGTAGTTTGTATTCTTAAAAAATTGCATGTTTCGTTATCTCTTTCTTTTACTCAATGTTTCTAATTTATTTAAGGCTTTTACAAATCTTTCAACTATGTCAACAAACAATACCGAGAACGACAACAACTCATACAGGTAAAAGAGTTCGTGTGGGATCTCTCATTTCCTGATTGGACACGTCAAATTCGTATGTTCTAAAACTTAGAAAACTAAGCCTTTTTCTTTCATTTTGAGCCTATTTTTATTTTGTACTTACAGATGCTGTTGTGTCAGCCTGGTTAAGAGATTATTTTCGTCATCCAAAGCGTCCAAAATGTCTAGTCATCATCGGACCAACAAGCACCGGTATGATATAAAGAAAAAGAGAACGAAAAAAAAGAAAAAAAGATGATCATTTGATCCAAATAAGATAATATATTTGTTGCTTACTCTATAATTTAGGCAAAACTTCGTTTCCATTGTCTTTGCCCGGTCGAGTATGTTATTTTAAGGGACGATTGTGCTTGAATACATGGAGCGACGATGCTCGTTATTTGGTCTTTGATGACATTCCATGGGACGAATTCGAAAATCGTAATTTTCCAAGCAAGAAAGACTTATTATCAGCCAACGGTGCTGTTGCTGTAAGATAATTTTTACATATGTAAAGAAAAGAATGAATGATTTTGTTTTGATTAATAACAGGTTACAGATAAATACCAGCCAACTGTAACAATCAATGTCATAATGCCATCGATTGTTCTTTTAAATCCCGGTGATGAGGGCTCTTTAACAGCAATACCTGTCACCGAGCAAGAACAACGCCAGGCTAAATACTGGACAAAAAGAGCTGTTGTTTATTGAATGGGTAGAAGAGATAAATCTAAAAAGAAACGAGAAGTAAAGATAGAAATAAAGGATTTTGTGTTTCAAATAATTTTAGATTCAGACGAATACTTTTTTAAACCAAAAGATCCATCAGCGTTCAGTACATCGAACGCATTATCTGATGGTCAAACTCGTCCACTTATAGGCCATGAAAATGAGTTTATCGACGATTAGCGTCGATGGCTTGCCGCACAGCACGCCGTCGCGTAGCAGCAACAACAAAAACAGCAGTCGTAACAGGAGCAGCAGCAGCAGTCATCAGCGATGGATATCGAAGGCATTCCTAATCAATCCGATAATGAGACATTTTACTAATGAGATGAATTTAATTCTCGCCTTGATTGTTTTTATTTTTCTTCTTCTTCTCTGTGTGTGTAATTAACTGGAACTTCGTATTCACGTTTCTTTTTCTTCTTTGCTACTATTTTATTGAAACTTGTTTATTTTCGTTGAATTTTAATTAATGAAATTATCATATAGTGATTGAACAGCTATATATTATTGTATTGATTTAAAATTGAATATTGTCATTGGTATGTAAGAACCACGGAATAATTAAGATAATATTTCTAGATTATGAGTTATAGAGTGTAATGACCAGTGCCATGATGGTTCATTAGTAGTTCTTTCTTTGATTTCTTTCGTTTGCTTTCAAATTGACATTATTTTCGATCTTGTCTAATAATATTATAAAAAACATTTTCCAAAGCTATCTTGTGTGACATTATGCAACTGATGATTATTTTCGGATTGAACGTCATGTAAGCTAAGCCATTCATAGTATTCAATGCTAGAATTGGCCAGAAAAGGATGTTTCCATTCCACTAATGATAGATTCGAGCAGTCTATATCTCATATAAATCTTAATTTAGTCAATTAAAACTACACCGACTGTTGCCTGTTAAAGTATATGAGAAGGAGAAGAAGTCAATGAATTTCAATATTTAGTTCATTTGCTTCAACAAGAACAGAAATAAATAAGAACCTAACAGATCAGAGACAAAGAAAAGTGATCAGTAAATATATATATGTACAAATGGAAATGAACGGTTGATTTACTGCTAGCATAGCCTATAATAGGGTATATCATTATCTGATTCACTGTGGGTACTATGGAAGACGTATGCATAGGATCTCTTGAGGTGTTAGTGGATGTGTATTGACCACGATGAGGTGAATTTAGTGAAATTGTTGATAGTTGAAATTCGCGCTATCGAAATTTTATTTCTGTGTGTGTTAGCCTAAGTTACGCGAATTACTTTCCTTGTTTTAGTTGTTTTTATTGCCTTTTATGAAATACTATGTTTATGCATTGCTGCAAGGCACATCTAATAAATTGAACACGAATGAGTGACGTACATACTATTTAATAATTGAACAATTATATAACTATGTACTTGAATTGTTTACATTCAATGGTTTGTGCCACTGATCAACCAATGCATTCGGTGAAATATCTTCTCCGAAAAACTTTCATAATCCCAAATAAATCTAATAATACAATTTTGGGAAGCTGATCCCGGATTCGAATCCCTCAGAGTCGATTAGCTCTCGTCAAAATTGTATGAAATGTCAAGAGTATCTTACAAATACTTTTGTTGCTTATAATAAACACAGTATACAATTTCAAAAATTCGATCAAATTTTATACGTGAACACATTCTATAGAATTTAGGAGTGGTATTTGTTCATGCACATTACTTGGGTTAAGGAAAGATGGAAAACAAGTTGATTGACATCACCCTGATTGCAATAGAGCGAATGAAGTAACTTATTTGTATGGTTTCATATTGAATTCCAAGCTATTTCATATCCTAGTTCACGATACGCTCGTGACATACAATTGTCATAAATATAACTGTGCGTTCAAAAATGGCGTTCTATGGAATGTACTTTGACGTTAAATCAGAGTCCTATATAAAAGCAATTAGAATTGTGACTAGTATTCTACAGAATCGGAGATTATCAGAAGTAAACCCTCAAAAGGAACCCTACGTTGTGTCCTTCAAATGATGAATTGGCGTGTGTTCGATGATACTATGGGCATCATGCAGTCCCTTGCTGAACTTTTCATCCCTGTAATACTCGAGGGATACATTCTAGAAGATTGTGATTGCTACAAAAGTTGTCGATTTCAATGATTTGTATTCAATGACTCACGGAAAGGAACCTACGCTTATGTAAAATAACGACGTTATGCGATTTCCAGTATTTCTAGCAAATATTAGCATTTGCCTAGCACTCCAGGTATGCATTCTGGAATTTTTGCTTTTCCTAAAAAGCTGCGCATTTCAGAAGGTTAGGTTAGATGGCATGTGGAAAGCTATGGCTTCAGATGAAAACTTTAAAATTTGGGTGTGGGTGTGCGTCTTGTTACACTCTTTAGTCGCACCCACACACCCACACCCTCAAGTTGAGAAATTTTACGATCTATCTAGTTAAAAAGAATTTATTGTATACAGGAAAAGTGAATGTATGAATCCTTTCATACATAACAGAGCTATCAGCCTGACCTTCTGTCTGCAAGTATTTCAAGCTAGACCAGACCAAGCCAGAAAACCAATTCACCGTGCTAGCAGCTTTGACGCGCGTACCACGAAGTGTGTGAGTGTGGGTGTAGATTGACTAAATACTCACATCCACATCCTCAATTTCAGACCTCAATATGATTGTAATCAAAAGTTATGAATTACCAAATTTACGAAAAAAGTGACTTTTTTCAAATGTTGAGTAATTCAGAGAATCCCAATGGTTCAATATTTTCCGACAAAAATAGTATAGTGCATACAGCTCATTGATATATATATATATATGCACAAAATTTCAGTTGAATCTATTGAGCGATTCATGAGATATTGTTGCATTAGGACCTCCCTTGATGACTAGGGTCAATTTTAGGGCTTTTAGTAAAGTGCTCATGAAATCTGAACGATCAATATTTTTTGAAGCGGCTTGCGTCAGAATTCATAGAATACTTTCCTCTACAACATGTCTTAAAATGAGCCAGATCTGCCGAGCTCGATTGAGCAGGGTCGGTCGTGATTTATGTGAAATGGTTCATATATTAGAATGGAGATATTATAGAACGAAGATCACACCGCATAAAAGACGAAGTACAATATAGTAAAGATGAAGAAAAAATAATAAAATCAGCGAGGGTGCTTCAATAATGTAATGATGTAATTCATCTTATCTCACAACCAGAGATCCATTAAACCGACGTTCAACAGATCAATTATGGTTTTATTCTTAGTTGTGTTTAAGTCTACCAGAATTAATTGATATAATTGCAGACTCTATAATCAACACATATTCAACGATTTTATCAAAATGCTTTTTGATTTTTTGCACATGTATGCAAACATAATAATACAGAATGCTTGATAAATATTTAAATAATCATAGTCAGGATAAATAAGAAAAGCTGTAGTACATCTTTTACGAAAAGATAATTATTCACTTCGACATTTATCATATAGAATTGGCGTGATATATGACGCTCACATCCTTCAACATTCCAAGAGTGAACTTTCCATTAAGCAAAATCAATATTTGATAAAAGAAATTACCGTTTCTGAAAATAATATCCATGTAGATCTGTCACAGCCAGATATAAATACAATAATTTTCTTAAATAAATGTTACAAACGAAATCTCAATAAATAGAAAGTTAGAGTAACTCTAAATTGATATATTTATAAGAAGCTATATAATTGCGATGGGTGTTAGTATTATATTAATAGTTATTGAAATACTAATACCAAGGTGTTAACTAATACTCGTAATACTAATACAAAAGTATTAATTTATTATTTTAATACTAATGCAAAAAGTATTAGCATTTTCTAAATACTAATGCTAAGCCAACACTCTTAACCGATGTAATATAATTTAAAGTCGTGTCATTCATTTGTCTTTGAAAGTATGAATTGGCGCAAGATAGTATAAATTGAAGATAATATGAATTGAGATAGTTTGCTGCTGTAATTCGAAATTTTTCAATAATATTTTCATATGTATGATGCTGAAATTAGTTGGAGGTAACTTCGAAACTACATTTGATGTTAAAATAATAGTGTATATTGCTCCACGTGTTGTTATATCAAAAGTGTTAGAAATTGACTGGTTAGATCAGCTTCTTTGTTTAACATACTAACTTATAATAAGAATCAAATTAATGAATCAATACATCAACACAGAGAGTGATAGTAACCATACTTCTCCAGTTTCTTATTATTTTTTATTAAAATAAAACAACCATAGTTGTAATAACGAAGTGTTTCCATTCGTCATTTTTCGTTACATCGTACAATTAGAATGCGTTGAATCAGCTAACCATCATGTAACAAGTGTTATATGTATGTTCAATTTATCTTGGATAGTGACAGATTTCGATGAATTCTTGTTGGGTCTTTGTGATTTTTAAATACAAATTGCGTTTTGTTTTTTCCCACTTCATGATTAGTATTATAAATACATGTTAGAAGATAACTTTTTAAATTGCCTTTTTGTAATCGATCGTAGCTATCTTTAAAAGGTCTTCCTCTCCTTTGTCATAAATAAAATGTAATAGATACCGATCATAAAGTGGGAAAAAACCCAAACATACCGATTTCGCAAGTAAAAAAAAGAAAACGAAGGATTGTATATAAGAAGATTGTTATCATTTAGTCTTTCATTACTTTTCAAAATAAAAACGACATACTAATACGAAGTCGAAGGCAAGGAAACTATTTCATAGAAGTCACTATTGAAAGTTAGTAAAAAAAATTAGGCCAGGTGATTGAGACAGTAAACTTTTGGAATTGATAGAAATATGACTGAGAGATGAGTTATCTAGCTATTGGAGAAACGAAGATGAGGATGAATCAATTAATTGAAAAACAGACGGACCTATCTCTTGAAGAAGTAAACAAGTTCAATCTGTTAGTCTCAATTTTTGCTTTTCAGTAATCGATTTTCTGTCGAAATTTGCGAACATAAGCAAAATAGATTTAACTAAATTTAAATTTAAAATTTCGTTTATTTAAAAGTTTATTATTTAGAATTTTTTCAGAACGATTGAGATTTAAAGTTAATTATGAAAGAAAAATTTCGTTGGGTTTAATGTTGATTAGTGTTAAATTATTTCAATTAAAGATTTCAAAAAGTGATTTTGACTTAACTAAGTTTGCTGCGACTTGTACAGAACGTCATTTTTTTATTAGAATGAGTTTTTGAGTTGTAGATAGTGAGTGCGATTTGTAGAGGATGCTAAACTTTTACAATAGAAAGTTTTTGATTTTAAATAGTTGCTGCTGTTTGTAGAGGATGTTAATTTAATGTTAAGAATTAGTTTTCAATGGTGACTGCAATGCCTAGAGGACGCAAGCTTTTGAAAATGATGAATTTTCGAGTTTTAGATAGTTAGTGGAACTTATGAAAGGTGGAAGTTTTTTTCTGAATGCACGCTTTTTGAAGGGATAGTTGCTTTGTTTGTTAAGCACATAATACTTTTTGGATGCAGACTTGATTGTTATGAAAGAATCGATTTCGTTGCATACAAGGTGTGCATTTTTAATGAAACATGTTTATCATTAAAATATAGTTCAAGTGATTTCTAGAAATATGCAGATATCAAAGTCAATAATAATCTAATTCTTCGATAAATAATTAATATATAGTGTTGCAAGAGTTGATATTAGATGCATATAATTGGTCTCTTTTTTAGAAGTAATCTATAAGCTTTAAAAACAAAATCCGTGTTGCTTCGTTATAAAATAAATATTCATTTGGAAATTATCAATTTGTGTTGTATAAAATATTAAGTGTTCTTTGTTAATGTTAAGACAATAATGAACTTGTCTATACAATATATGAAAAAATGTTGTAAATTGAAATCTGCATTAGAATTCTATGAATTAAAGTGAAAATATATAAGAATTCGATTAATCTTTCTTTTTTATTATTCATAGCGATTCCGATAAGAGCGATAGAAGAGTTTTAACAATATGAAAAAAATAGATTGATGGGTTGATTCGTCTTGTTTTTAATTGTAGATTATATTAGGATTAATAATGCAGTAACTAAGACAGTCAATTTTAATTTATGTTATGCAATATGTAATAACAAGAATGTAGGTCTTAAGTAGCTCATTTCGATTTATTTTTCTCATTAATGAATATTGCCAATTCATTAGGATAGATCCTAATGTGTATTTTATGAGAAAAAGTTGAATCTAAATTGAAGTAGAGATTGAGTTATATATTGAGTAGTTTATTTTTGCGTTTGCTACTCACATTAATTTGGTATAAGGTAGAAATCATTTTTATGAACTTAAGTGAGATAGAAACGAGTTTCTTTGTTCTGTTTTACTATAGAAAAAGTGCTGGTCGTTATAGAGAAGTTAAGATCATTGATCAAGAATGAAATAGGAATGAATGTTATTTGTAAATAAGTGCACAGATGGGCTATGTAATTTGTTGTGTTTGCTTGTAGATGTTGATTTGGCATAGTACCAGACATTTGAATCAAAGTGGAAATAAATATCGAGTGACTTATTTTTTTTTTGATTTGGTAGATTAATAATGGTATTTATAGGGTGTAATGATCGTCTCTGAAAGAAAAGAATTTGTATGAAAATTTCAATAGATTTCAATACTTGAGGGTGTGGATGTGGGTGTGGGTGTGGATCTTCGTTTCGCCCATACCCATCACAGTATATTGCATGCATTTTATTAACTCAATGAGATATCAACTTGTGGCATCGAAAAAAAATCGAGTAGGCGTTTAGCAATGTAATTTATCATTGATTTATTTGTAGTTCCTACTATTTATTGAGTATATTTTGCGCAGACATAAGAGATAACACAGCAAAGCAAATGTAAAAATCGATTATATATACAGTTAAGATCGATTGAATGAGTTTGAGTGCAGAGAAGACGGGCACTAAAATAAAAGTTCACACCGATACTCTTCCAATATACAGGGTGCTCCAAAAGTCCCTCAGGAAACTAAATTCGTAGAATTTCACTATTCATCAAACTTAATCAACCAATTTTGTTTTCAGATGATAAATATTACTCTGGAGTTTTTGTTTGTACGGACAAACTTCACAAATACTATTCAAAATCATAATTTTCGATTAAAACACCAAAATCAGTGCTTTTCCGGCTCACATTACAGTGTTTCTCTTTCAATACCAGAATTTTTTGGGTTTATTGTGACATCGATCAAATCTTACGCTGTCATTTATATGCAGTCGTTGTGATAGATCATTGCTAAATAAGCCTAATTACGTCAAGTTTCAAGATCGTGAAGCTCTTGAGATCGGCTTTCTCCCATCAGTTCATCAGTCATCGTTCCAAAAGTTAAAGCGATCTTGTAAACTTCGTGATCTTAGAACTTGACTTTATTAGGCTTATTCTACACTGACATATCACAACGGATGTATATAAACGACAGCGGAAGATTTGATCGATATGAAAGTTCGCAAAGAAAGCAAGAAATTCCGGTATTGAAAGAGAAACACTACAATGTGAGCAGGAAAAGGACTGGTTTTGGTGTTTTAGTCGAAAGTTACGATTTTGAACAGTATTTGTGAGGTTGGTTCGTACAAACAAAAACTTTAGAGTGATATCTATCATCTGAAAAACAAACTGGTTGATTAAGTTTGATAAATAGTGAAATTCTACAAATTTACTTTTCTGAAGGACTCTTGGAACGCCTTGTACACTCCGCATGCGAAAATAATAATATAATACTGAGATGAAAGTGAATTATAATTGACAAGCAAATAATACAGAACTTATTTTTTCTTTAAATATATTTTTTGTAGATAAAAGATGAATATATATTTAATTTTCATTCAATTTGCATTATTAATAATGGCAACATTAAGTTTTCCTAACTACAATTTTTCCATCACCAATAATTTGGAACCAACAGACAATTTTAATGAGATCAAATTATCAAGAAAAAAAAGAGACTCTTGTGCTACACAAGCTCAATTAGATATATTAGCAAAGGGTTTAGACTCGATGAGTAGCGCCGTAGGCAAAGATGTCTTTGGAGGTGCCTCAAAATTAGCTTCGTTGACCGGATCAATTGTTGGTTTTCAATCTCCGACAACTTGTGATCTAGATGCGAAACTGGATCAGATTTTACAGAAGCTACATGAAATCGCAAGAGACGTACAGAGTTTGGGTCCTTTAGTTGAATGTACACAAATAAAAAATAAGTATGATAGCCTTTTGGCGAAAATACAAGCAATATTGCATCTCCTTAATCATTTTCGTGAAACAATTGAAGCAAAAAACGAAACAAGAATTAAGATAATATCCCGGTGTAATGATCATACAGAAGGAATACATCAAATATATACTATGCTATTAATACTTCTCGAAAATTATGAAGTAGTGAACTTTTTAAAAAACTGCGCCCGTTATGAATCAGAAAAGGTTAATATATGGAGTGACAAAGTAATGAAATTAGCATCATTAATTACACTTTTGATCAAAATATGTGAAGAAGCAAATAATTATGTGACAGAATTCGATCCACCTCGTTTCGAAAAGGAAGTAATAGAATTGATTCAATATTATAGTGAAATTACTAATTTAAAAGAATTTGTAGCAGACCAAGGAGTTTTAGGATTAAGAAATATTGTAAAATCAATTGCAAACAATGGGAAATCTGCTGATGAAACTGCACAAACTCTAAAAGAAAAGTTTAATTACTTTAATTGGGACGTAATTTTCTATTCTTCCAAAATACATAGTTACGATCAACATGCGGCGTATTATCATCCTGATTATACATATTGCGGCTCACACTTTTATTTACGTGAATTAGACCATGGTAAAAATGCAATAGTAGCATGGTGTATTCCTAACAACAACAATCCTCGTAATATAGAATTAAAGGGCTATAGCAATCATGCTAAAACATATGCGACAAACATATACAACGAAAATAAAAATCTAAATTATGTCCTGGTGATACATTCACAGCCCGATTGTAATGGGTATGGTAATTGGCATAACTGTTACACAAAACCCATTGAAGAAGATTATAACGGGATAACAAATTCATGGAAGGAGGGTGAACATACAGACGACCGTAAGTTCATCTATACAAGTGGTTGGACTGATAAGAAGTTGTGGATCTTCGCGTCATGGTCGGCTTATAAAAATGAAAGAGAAAAACCAGAATTAAAAAATACAAAAGCTATCGTTTTCACGAAAGGAGGAAAAAACGTTATAACAAAATATGATACAAGACTATTTGGTCACTACCAACAATATACTGAAAAAGACGATTATAAGTGTTTCCGAGCATGCAAATCTGAAGAACAATGCGCCGCCGCTACATTCCATGCTTTGTACAATTGCTTTTTTTTTCGTATAGGTTTTAGAAAATCCGTGGAATCAGGTTGGACTTCATATATTAAACATGAAGGTATGGACCAACAGACCCCTAGCGCCCACAATCCTGTATCTCCTAGGAGTCCTTCAATTTCCGTGAATTCCTTCATTTCTTATATTGTTTCGAGTTCTCGAGTTCCTTCAGTTGTTAAATTCCTTCAGTCATACGAGTTTTTGAAATTCGCCGTATGTCTGGATTTGTCTGACTTCCACATTTCTTCTCATGTATACTTGATTTCTTTCGATACCTTGAGCGCGAGAGTTTCTTTAATTCCTTAAATTCATGAGCTTCAGTGGCTTATTGAAATCTTGATATTCCTTAATTTTCTTCCGCTCCTAGGCAGTTTTCACTTCCTGAACATTCTTCAGTTTCAAATATTTCTTGTATAACGTGGATTCTGTAGGCCTTTTGGATTACATTCCCAATTTGGACTTATTCATGGGTTGGATTCTTTCCATTTGGTGAAACTCTTTTATTCCTCAGATTCTCGGAATTCTCTGATTTTGATGAGACGCAATTCCTGTACCAGATTCAGTTACACAAGTTTGCCTTAAAGTAAACATCATAATTTCTTTCTTAAATTCAGTTGGTGAAAAAAAGTAGAAGTTGGTCATTGTGTAGTAAATTCTCAAAATTTAAGTTTTTCAAGAGCTGTTTTGATTTGAAATAGCTTTGAACCACATGAGAAGAAAGAACGCACTTCAAAGTACTCAAAAACATTTTTATCTTTCTTTCTTGTTTTCAGAGTAGCTCAAAAAAGACTCTAAAGATTGTAAATCGAAATAATTAAGAAAGTTGGTCTGTTTCTACGTGTTGAGTATCTTTTATTGAATTTTGCTTCTTAACTTTCTAGAGAAATCAGTTTCATCAAGTTTTGTAGAGAATTTGACGGCGCATCTTTCGAGCAAACAACCAAGTCTAAGGGCTGAAAAGAAAAAAAGTTATAGTCAAAATACTGAGAGGGTCATTATTTATGGGCACCCGTTAGATGAAAGAAACACAAAAAAAGACAAGATGAAGAGATGAAGAAATGAAAAAGAAATATAAATAGAAGACGATACCAGAATAATGAACATCTATGAGTGCGACATCACTATAATACCAATTTCTCGCTCCTTCCATCTCTTATTCACATGGTTCTTTGAGTAAATTGTTAAATACCTAACAGAGGCTTCCAGACTTCACGTGTGTCTTTTTCGTGCAAAGCTTTTTCTAACCATACATTTTGTGAAAATGAGTCTTTAGTCTAATTTAACACCTACAATTTCCATCGACTCGCTGCAAAGCTTTTGCAGTCTTATAAAAATCAGCGTTTTATTTTAAGAACACGGCTGACGAGTCTACGCATGTTATAGAGAAATAATGTAGATAACTGATGCTTTAAATATAATCATATTTTCTTCCTTTGCAATCAATTCAGAAACAGATATCAAGCCTGCGAATCCCTGTGCGTCGGTCAAATGTAATTATGGAGGTTCATGTATATCAAAAGGTTCATATAATTATACTTGTTATTGTCGATATACGGTAAACGTAAATGATGGTATCTGTGAAGGTAGTTTTGCTTGGTACCATCTGTTACGAATGATAATTATTATTTTCGTATAGATCCGTGCAGCTATCATGCTTGTGGGCTTAAATCAAGAAAATGTGTGAGCATAAAGACTGGATTTCGATGTGAGTGCAATGGTTTTTCAACAAACAATGAAGCCTGCTCAAGTATACCTGATTAATTCACTTTACAAGACTCTTTTTCGTGTTCTTTTTTTATTTCAGAAGATGCAACGTGTGACGGATGCGCGTAAGTTTATCCATTCTAAATACTAATTTGGTTTGTTCTTCATGAATTTTATACCAAGGAATCATTCTAAATGTGTATTAAATCGGGACAAGAAGTATCAATGCATGATCGAGTGTTTCTTTGGTGAAGATACTGTTCGAATGGTTGACGGAGGATACCAACCTATCGCAAAATTAAATCCAGGTGATCGAGTTTGGTCACTTGGCGTAAATGGAAAAATGGTTGAAGACGAAATTGTTATGATTATGCATATGGAACCTAATACAACAGGTAAATACTATCTATTTGACAGGGAACTTTTCCAGGTTCTGAAATTCTGTACATTTCTATCAACATAGTCTAATCTCAATTTGAGTTTCTCTTATAAAATCTGACAGACAGGATTTCTATCCTCGCTTTCATTTACATGACCTCACAATTACGTATGTGACGAATGTTTCTCTAATGAGCCTAGTGAAAATCACTTTGAAACGAAGCTTTAACAGCAAGACTGTTTTCATCGAAATACCATTGTATGAGATTTTCTTGGCGATAAATTTAAAAGGCTTATGACACGATCCAGGTCTTCTGCATAATTCAATCAGCAGAAACCTTTTTCCTAAGGAGCAATTTTATTTTTCAATCCAAATATTCCATTCAAGTATTTTCAGTTTTTCACAACTCATTACTAGGATAAAATATAAAGATGAGTTGAGTTTTTGATCAATGAAACGGGATGGATTTTTTTTAGAAGATTTCATTCCAGAGGTTCATAGAATCTTTCAAAATCATTCAAATAGTCGCTCGTTAAAACAACATGCAATTGAAAAAGAGAGAATGTAGCAGATGTTTAAATTATCTAACACACAAATTTATTTAGACAATTTATCTTTTGCAGAAAACATCTCTTAAGTAATCTGAAATATTTGACTAAATTCGATATGTGAGTTTCGCATTGTAAGTCCATAGGAATTGTACTGACAAGCGTTCTTTTAATCACTGAAAGATATTTCTCATTCGTTCGAAGAAAAAAAAACTCATCTAAAGGTTTTAAAACAATACTTTGTCTGCAGAAATAGTCGCATTTTTTCACTCTCGTACAGAACTATCGCGGTCAAGTGCTGTAGATCTGATTAGATTCATTATTGTTCGAAAAATTGAAACTACTCAACTAGTGTGTTTGATTTTCAATAGCTCTTATGCATTGCTTAGACTTCTCGATTAAAAACTGACATCATATGTCAAGAAGCAACAAGTCTATTTGATTTATGAGAAATTTTCTTATTGACAGTCCTTGTGAGTATAAACAACGTTTCTATTTGGCCCAAAAATAATCGTACATCGTTTTTCGAATAATTCTTTTTTCGTGCATTTCACGCATTTTTCAAGTTTTTCAATTTCGACTATAATTTTTTTTGTCTCACATATTCGACGTAGCTTTGTTCTATACATTTACCACAATCGACGGCCAATCAATTAGTATGACAGCGGCTCATTTGATTCAAACATTGATTCCATCGTCTCTGTCATTCAACATGACCGTAGCTTTTCTACCAGCATCAAAAATTACACTTGATCATCGTTTATTTGTCTCGGGAAACAACAATCCAATTTCTATCGCTAGAATAATAACAATTCATCGTGTTGGCATTTATGCACCATTGACACTTAGTGGTACTCTACTTGTTAATAATATTTCTGCTTCCTGTTTCATCGAAGCGTAAGATTAACTAAAATTCTATTGATCTGAAATGAAATGATTCCATTTTTAGATACGGTGTTAATCATGAAGTCCAGTATAACTTTTTCAAGCTTTTCATACTATACTACCGTTTTACACGATGGATATATGGTCGAAACTACCATCCATTCGCTGCTGAAAATTATCAAGATGGCTACCATCCATTTATTGCTACTATTATGCAGAATCGTAATGTAGCAGGCTTTCTTTCCGATTGTTTGCACACTATGATACGACCATCATCACTGATTATCATCATTGTACTTATTGGATTCAACAAACAATTAAAACGTTTTCAGAAACTCCAACATTTCCATTGAACTTAATTAATTTCATCATAATGTAAATCTTAAAAGACTTATTCTATCTCGAGGGTGTGCGTGTGGGTGTTGGTATCGGTGAGGAGAAGCTCCAGGTCGACACCCGCACACCCACACCCTCAAGATAGTTATCTTGTACCTGAATTTCCAAGATCTGTTAACATATCTATACCTTGTATCTTGACCAAGATCTTGCTTACAAGATGTTTGTCTAGGGTACCACTGATTGCTGGATAATAAACTGATTTTGGAAATACGTATATTAATCTACACCTAGCCGTTTATTAATAAACACTTTGAATAAAATGATGAAATACAAAACCCTTAAAACAGTTTCATATATCGTTTTTAAATTCATATACCCTTAAGATAACAAATCCTTCGGCTCATATACCCTTCATAGGGTACATGACATGCAGATAAACCCTTCAAGGGTTTATAGCAAAAAAAATCAAGAGCAAGCGTTCATTATTCTGCCCTTTTTGTTTTACAGTGCACGACCCCTAGATGACTGTACCATCGCTACAAGCGTCCAAATGATACATCCATCTTACGTAGGTATCATTATGATTTGAAGTAAGCCTATAAGATATGAGAGATAGAAATCCACGTGAGTGTAGCAATGATTCTTTTTTTAGTCTTTATTTACTTAACATTTAGAATTATGTTTACTTTTTTATTAGGATATCATAACTTTTTTTTACATGAAAATAGATACGAAGAAAAACAGCTTTATTCCTTGGTTAAATCAGAAACTTTAAACAAAGAAAAACAACTACTGTTCACATAAAAGCTTTTACATATCAAAGAGACCTTGTGCTATTGGTTGTTATATCTGACTTCAGTTATTAAATAAATTTGTATAAAAAGACGATGAATAGACAATAATATACGGACTTGATGTTAGATAATGAAGATCAAAACAAAAAACCAAGTATATGACTCGGCAAGATCATTCGAATAAGTAAGTATTAATTCAATAGTAAATGCTTGGAGAAATGAATTGATATTAAATAAATTTGTAGTAGTAGCTACTACTTGATGGTAGTTGATATTTCTATTGATCAGAATTGCGTTTCATTTCGTTTTGAGTCATATTTGCTGAATAATGAGATATTTTTAATTGTTATTCTTGAAGTATAAAATAATTCATGGAAATCAAGAGAAAGCAGAATAAACTAGTAATTCAATTTACACCATAATTAAAGAAAGGATTAAACCAATAAAAGACTATGCTACTTCGATTAAATTGTACGTTTTAATACACCAAAATTTACAGCTATTTTCTATACTACTTCCTATCAATCTCGATTGAATTTTAAAGTGTACAGAACTTACTCTACAAAAAATAGCTGTAAACCGCCCCCCACAATAAAAGATCCCGGGTCTTCTATTATGTTCCAGGGTAAAAATTTTCCATGGGGGTCTTGTATTAAGAACCGCATTTTTTCCTAATATTTAATTAAAAAGGTTTTCCAGAAAAACTAAGGTGACTTTCAGGATTTCCATCAGGATTTTCAGGGTTTTAAGGGTGTCATTATAATTGTGAACACATTCTCTTAATATTCCCAGCTTAAAATACTAAGAATCAGGCATATTTTGATGGGAAAACGCTAATTAAAATTCGTAATTAGCAGAAAATTAATTAATTAAAGGGGGNCCCCCCCCCCCCCCCCCCCCCCCCCCCCCCCCCCCCCCCCCCAAACACTAATTTGAAAGAAAAATTAGCTTGAACATTAAGGGTGTGGGTGGATTTTATGTGAGTAATATTCCGACATCCACATACATTCTGCACCCACGCCCATATTCACGTTCACCACCAACCCGCACCATAGTTGTTTTTAGTAGGCCTCGACGTTCAAAATTGTGTATCGATTAACTAGACCTGGGTGGTAAACAAAATGTTTCATTCTCGTTGAAATCTGCGGACAATAGGGCATAGTTTCTTTGATTATGGAATCAATGCAATATAGAAGCATTAGCTGAAATTATTGATTATGAGAAGTTATCGACTCTAGAAAAACGGTCAGTTCTTACTTTTACATAGTATGTTCAAGATACTCAGATGCACTTGTCTCGAAAAATATAATAATTTATACTGTATAACTTTTTCTGTAGTAAATAGATCAAATAAGTCAAAATATTGAATATTCATTCATGGATATAATATCATAGCCATGATGATCAAATGGTTAGATACTCGTAATTATGTTCACCAACTACTTCAGTGTAATTAGTTTTGTGCACGCCGTTATGAATATCCATGGAGGATTACACAGTCATTCGTCTCTTAGATATATTCATAACAAGAAAGAAGATACATAGAGTGACGGATTTTGCGCGTACTTGTTAATAAATACATGTAAGAAAAATGCATAAAATAAAATGAAGAAGAGAAGAATCGTTTAAATAAGCATGCATCAGCTCACTAAAAGAAATGAGAAAACATACAGCAGTGCCATTCCAACAAAACGCAAGTTTTTCGGTGCAGCACAAAGTTAGAAAAACAGCGTAAAACGTTTAGTCGCTTTTGAAGATTTCAGCGATTAGTGCATTTATATCGAGATTATCCGTTCTTGATTCAAGTAATTGGGGACATGAAGATTTTATATCACGACAGATATCATATATCGCCAAGGCCTGTTTCGCATTACCTTTCTTTTCAAAAATGGCACCTATCTTTTCTAATGTACAGGTAATATCACAAGGTTTGTAACATTTAAGTGCTTCATCGTATTGTTGGCAAGTATAGTACAAAATACTCCCCATTGCATCGTATGAATAAGCAATGCTTCTATAATCGGGCCTTACAGCATGCCTTTCACAATCAATGGATTTTTTTATAATATGCTAAAACTAGGAAGTCCTGGTTTACTCGTTCATAACTGATTGCCACAATGTTATAATAGTAAGCCAGTATAGGATCAATTCTGGGTACATGTTGAGTCATAATTTTTAATGCTTCTCAATGAAAATACAATGCCGTTTTATAATGTCTTTTGTCAGCAAACATCAAACCACGAGTGTCGAATAATGTTGCTTTCATTTCCCATCCATTTTCTGATTTAGCATTATTTTCACATAGTTCTGAAGCTGTTTTATAGTTGCCCATCCGTGCGAACAATCGATACAAAGCGACCAGTGGACTGTGATACTCTATTTGAATAATTTTGTGCATGTGCCCAGTTAATTTTTGAAGAGCTTCATCTTGATCATTGGTCGACCTTAAATCAACTGCATAATGTTTTCGATTCGTTCAACTTTTTCGATACGAAAACCAGAACCAATTGAAAAGAGCCATTCATTTTCACCTGATCCTAAATAACTGTATTGTTCGACACATGCACATGAGCTATTAATTACCTCATTTGAATCGATTTTTATTTTGAAAATAACAGCCACTTTCTCTCTGTCAGATTCTCCTGCATAAACAGCTGCTATGTTTCTATTTGAGCTAGTTGATTGAAAACTAGAGATCGAAAAGAGGCCACCTTCATTATTCCTTATATTTTTAAATTCATCGATATTCATGTTTACACCTCGATAAAGAGGAGGAATTAATATATGACTCTCTGTTTGAATTGAAACAAGTTGCTGATGAAGATGGCGAATAAATGTGCGCATCTTGTACAATGCTTCAACATTCTGTGTGCGAAGTGCCTCATTCAACTTTCTGTAGACAAATGTATCTCTTGTGTACCAAGAAATAGCATCTGTCGCTTTATAAAGACGCTTAAATTCGTCGATCTTACAAAGTTCAACTGAATCATTACGATAAAGACTTTGACAATATTCAACTAGTTCAGGTGTACTATCATCTTGAAAATTTAAAAATACACCTTTTAATAATTTTGTAAACATAAACGAATATTCTTGTTTGTTTAGATTTTTTGACAATGTTGAAGTATTTGATTTTGAAAGTATTTCAAATATCATGTGTTCATATTGGAGTCGACGAATATCATATTTAATCCGATCCATTAATTGATGAATTTCAGGAGAAATGCGTACAACTTTTCGAAAAGATTGGAGCTGACATTCATCAATCTTCTCGCTAGAAGTATATAGAATATAGATTAATGAAACAGACGAAAGATTCGAAATACAAGTAAGTACTGGATGATCAATCGTATCGGTAATGAAAAGAAATATTACATGCACATTTTCCAACTTGATAAGATAATCGATACATTGATCAGAAATAGAAAATATTTGAATCTTATCATGCAACTCGTGCAATTGTTCGACTACTTGTTCCTGGCTGTTGTTCGTATCGGATGTAGCATCAAGATAAACAATGACAAAACCCTCTTTATGTGCTTGTGGATTTGTAGACATTTTTCATATCATCACTGTGATGCCCTGAATAAAATGCAAGCATTTGTTGCACGCAGATTCATCATTTAATAAAGAAGTTTGGGATTCTTTTTTGTTTTTCTTGGCGACCTTTCAAGCGATGATGGTAATATCGAATTTGTGCCATTACAGTGTATGATAAGAAAAATATAAAATATCATTATCAAAGCATGACGGAATTATCTTTACATTTAATTGAGTTGATTAAATTATTTCGATATATATGTCGACTTTTTCACACGAACAATTTGATAAGAAAATACAGCATTTAGCATAAGAGTATGATCTTGCTAAGAATGACGTGCTTTTTTATTTTGCAAATATAACGATACAGCTGTCAACATCGAATGACTGCAATTAATTGGCTATGCACTGAAACAACACCTACCTGCACCTTCTCTCGCTAAGCAATATCGAGTAAAGTATGGAAGAATAATCTACTACAATAACCATTTGAAATTGCTCGCTACCATACATTTTAGTAGAGTGGGTATGGGTGTGATTGACTTTGTGGGTGTTGTGAGTTTATGTGCTGGTCTTTGTGACTATGACCACACATGCACCCACACACCTGCCCACACTGTAAAAAAGATTCGTAGAATAATAACCCCTAGCACTTGAAGAAAGTGTTTCTGAGAAAAAGGGTCTCTGAAAGTAAAAAAAAGGTTTATAGCGAGCGGAAGAAAGTTATATTGTTTTACCGTTTCATAAAAGAGTTTATTGTTCTACCTTTTTATGAAAAGGATTTATTATTCTACGATGAAGGGTTTCGTGTTCCCCTTTTTATAAAAAGGGTTTATTATTACCCGAAATTCTCCAACAGAAACGATTAAAACAGTCGTCTGTACCGCGGAGAAAAACTTTCATTTTTTCTACAAAATATTCCTTCAAAACCAAAGTTCGAGCTGCCCCTCAGAAAAGATCAGAATCGCATTTCATAGAAAATATTTAATTAGTTTTAAGCATTCAAATTTTCCCAAGAAAGAATTGCATTCACTTTTCATTTCCAAAATCCACTTAGAATTCAACATTTAGATTCCCCCAAGAGAAACTGAGATTGATTTATTATTAAAAATAATCAAATAGGGTTAAATTTAAACATTTGCTTGAAGAGTAAATAAGCTATCTTTTCAATGGAAATTACTAACATTGCTTTAAACTTTTACATACTCGTGAGAAAATCTTTAGTTAGCATCCAACTTTTAGATAGTACAAACAAAGGGTGTGGGGCGTGGGTGTCCGTTTTTCAGACGAAAACGTCACCGCTACATCCACATCCACATCCACAGCCACACCCACAGCCACACCCACACCCACACCCACACCCACACCCTCAAGAATTATGTACGCTTTAAAACGGATATCCACAATTATGGAAGTTTGTTGGTCAAATATTCAAGCCAATTTCTCACTAAACCGTGATACTTAATAAGATTTCAAGAAACGCACAATGTTAATGAGTCTGACTACGTGCATGATTAATATGCATTTCATCCCAATCCCATATTCATATCTTACATCAAACTGATGAAAACCAATAGTATCACTTTTCCGCATTAGACGAAATTGTTTATTTTTTTTGTAAAGAACATGAATTTTCAATGATATTTCCTAATTAAAATTCTAGTGCATTAAGCTAAGAAGTTAAGGACAGTCAGTCATATAACAATAGTTGATACACTAACTTAAGATCAGGTAAGAAACTTTTTCAAGGAAATAAAGTAACCAACTTCTATCCACGGATCGAAGAAGAGTGGTGAAGTAATTAGAATCATACAAATGGTTCGTAGCCAACCGGAAAAGTTTTTTGTCCGCTGACTCGTGATCCTTGTTCGATTCCAGAGAATTTCCAATGTCACGAAGAGTGCATGTAGAAGGAAAAAGATCATATTCTTACCAGACCATCGATCAGTGGACATGGTGAAGAGTAGCTCATGAAAGATACCTGATAAGACAAACGACATCAGGCCTCGTACTGTATTACTCATTGTCTGACTCATTCCAAGCCAATGTGGTAGGAGAATAAAGGACGTCCTATGTAATAATTGCTTAATAAAGACGTTCCAACGATAAGACCAAAACTCACGTATACTGCATGAAGTAAATGGAAAAGCGGGAAAAGTCGCACTCATTGGTAACCCCCATATGAGACCACTGACGCCAAATATCGTGTTGGTGACTAAAGCAATCGAAATATAGAGAATGAAAGACAACAGCAAATAACGAATTGGCCAAATCGAAGGTGCAATTGACGTCAAAGGAAGAGCGAGCCATGATTCAGGAGTCGCACGTATCAGTATACGAAGAGTCATAAATTGAAGAAAAGCTCTGAAAAGCATGATCATATTGTTACGATAAATATCTTTGATATTCAATGTTAATTGCTTCTCTATAGTCGACTTCCATTGATAATAGCTAGAACAGTCTATCGCCACTTGTTTCACTGGTATCGTTCTTAGTTCATTCCAATCACGAGTAAATCCCCAATCCAGAAATTTTAGCGCATAAAGAAGACTAGTAATAGAACTTAAGAAGAGCACATGGACGTTAGCTAAAGGCCACGGTGAGTACCATTTTAAGTATAATGGCAAATAGAGGATGCACAGAGAAAAAGCGATACAAATCCCATGAAATAAACGTTTAGAATTCAAACGTTGACTGATCGAAAAACTGACAACGAAGATGAATACAATTCCTGCATAGAGAAACCAAAGTCCAACAAAGTTAATTTCAGTCATTGTGCTTGCCTTAAAAGTGTCACCAAAGTACTTTTTCAACTGATAAATCAATGATATAAAGAAAAAAAACTAAATTGATAACGGCCACAAAAAGAACGACAAAATGCGTATCTTTTACCATATGTCACGGCGCTGATACGAACTTTATCTTTCCTATTCTTCTCATTTTAATCGACGACACGCATGCAGTTTCCAGTAAATTGTATTGTTGATCAACGCATGAGACAAGAACAAATTGATCCGCATTCATTCGTAACTAAAGTCAGTTTTAATCAAATAATTTCCTTGAATGCAGTGAAAGGGAAAAGTTGCTTCACTTGTATTATTTCCATGATTTTATTTTCTCGAGGATGTGGGTGTGTCTCTTGTTGTCACTAATAACTGCACACACTATGAAGAGGGAAATATTTAAACAGAGCACAAAATCAAAAAATGATCAAAACAATTGAATCCAAGGGAACATACAGAAGTTTAAGAGTTTTATTTTGTTGCATTAAGTCGACTAATAGCATCCTTCGTCTTCTGTACACTTTTATGGTCAACAGGAAGAAACTTTGCATTAAGTGTCAACGCACGTTTAAAATAGTCAAGTGCTATCTTTGGGTTTTTCTGTGTCTCATGATAAATGCCAAGACTATTCAAAGTGTCAGCAAGATCAACAGAACTTGATGGAGAACATTTTTCAAAAACTGTTGACGCTTGTTGAAAATAATCGAGAGCTTTATCATGTTTTTCTTGACGCGTGAGATTTTTACCAATATTCATTAGACTTTTCGCAATATCAACATGATCGGATGGACACCATTTCTCTTGCATTTCCAATGCCATTTGATTATACTTGAGAGCCTCGTCATACTTTTCATGTCGATAGTTAACATCACCCCTGCTGTTGAGGACATGAGCAGCATCTTTGAATCGTTTTGGTCCATCTTCTATCATTCGATTATATGCACGAATATAATATTTTTCCGCTTCTTTTAATTGACCTTTGCAATCAAGAGCTCGGCCTATATTAAATTCAATCCAAGCACGATCTGCGTCAGTTGAGCTATCTAATAATTGTTCAAAATATTTTTGTGATTCATCATGTTCCCCTAAGTCACACAATAATCTACCAATGACAATTGAATTACTGGTTCCTTCGATTTCTTTGCTTGTCGATTCAACGAATTTTTTAGTAATTTTTTGTCCTTCATTTGACAGTTTCATTTTAATTACTTGGAATGGTTTATCTTCTTGAAACGATTTGATTTCAAAACAAGCATTTATATCAAATAAAACTTCTGCTTCATCTGGATTATCACTTAATTCAGCAATATCAGCAAAAATAATATCTTTATCAATTTTTTCAATATCAATTTCAATATGGAACAGAACACGAACGACGTCATTTCTTTTTGTAGATTTACTTGCATATTCTCGTGCTTTTGATTCTTTCCGACTAGTTGAAAAATATCCATTTGTTGAAATAAGTTTTCCTTGACTTTGTTTTAATCTATCAAATTCTTTTGTGTCCAGTGCAAAGCCTCTATAAAGAATTAAAATTTTTTCTTTTGACAAGAAAATCTTGTCATGTTGACATCGCAGATTTTCTGATAGATCCCCAATGAAAAATCGGAATGCATGTATTAATTCAACGCTTTCGATTCGTAATACTTTATTTAGTATTTTATATAAGAAACCGTTTTTCGAATACCAATTAATTGCATTTTCCGATCGATATTTTTCTTCAAATTCTTGAATATGTTCCATTTCTTTTTTATTCCCATGATAATAATCTTTACACAATTGAATCATTTGTTCTTTTGCTTGTTGATTTCTTGGAAGACGAGCAGTAACATAATTAAATAATTGATACCAGAGAAATTTCGCTGATTCTTTTGATAGATCTTTCGTAGATGGTTCGTCTTTTTCAAAACAAGAAAATGTTTCTATGCGTTTATTGAAATTATCAAATTCTTCTTCAATTGATTTACATAAATCATCAAACTTGGTATAAATTCCAATAATTTTATTGTATTCAGTTAATAAATGTTCGTGCCGTTCCTTTACCATACAAAAGATAAAGACCGAATCAACTTGATCCAAATTCAATACTTGAGATAAAATTTCTGGGGCTTGAGCTCCGGATGTTATTAAAAAGATTTTTTCGCTTTTAATTGATTTGATAAATTCCATACACTTTTCAAGATGAACAAATACATTGATATGATCATTAATAACCCGAAGTTCTTCTGTCTTTTTTGTAACGTCTTCTGGTTTAATGTTTGGATCAAACCAAATAAGTTTAAAATTGTTTTGGCTTTGCCTTATTCGGTCTATCAATGATTGATTAAATGTAAAATTGTTTCTTCGTTTATTAATCGGTTCGATAGCTTCTGCCATAAAAGCTAAAACAAAAGTTTCCTAATAATAATGTTCAATTTTACTTTGAGAAAAAAAAAGAATTATAAGCAAAATCGACGCAAAAATATTTCTTTTCGCTATATCACATGAAATAGTTGTTTCTTTCTCCTTCTATTTCAGTAAAAATGCTTGTTGCGTTTATTTACTTGTTCCGTTGCTTAGTGAATTTTCCTTTTTCTGCTTGTCAAAATTTTCTTTGCATTCTCGTCGAGAAGCACTTGAAAGTAATTTGTTTGTCATCTCTTTCTCGACGCTGTGACAGAGCTCGTCGAATTAATTATACAGATGGTGCTTCGAATATATGTGCACAGCGTTGTTGCATGTAACTATAGAAAAATACGGTTTGAAAAATACCAGAGAAGTCTAAGTAGATTTCAAACAAGTAGCACAACCTTATCGCTGCTAGCCCTCTATTGAAAGGGCATGATGATGTAAGCAACAACAATCCAAAAAACGTAGCTTCTCAAAAGAGATACTTTAAAACAAAAACTAATAGCTACTGGATTATTGTACAGCTTTACAAACGAGAGACAAACCTTATTAATATGTTTTTACACATTTTCCAAAAAAATATCCTATAACGTACCTCTTTCTCTTTTATATCATTAATGCTCCCCATATCATAAATATTTGAATATTCTTATGAACTCAATATAAACTCACATTATGAACATCAATGTTTTTCTTTTGAATTTCTCATAGAAGCACTATGATAAACCTCAATCATAAAAAACAAGATCGAATTGTGAACATTTGAAGTAATCGAAAACCTAATAGAAATTGAAATTTCAAGCATTTCGATTATTTGGTCGTCAACTAAATATAAAGAATATTACAAGTTTCACTTTCTCTTTCATAGGGTGTGGGTGTGTCAAAATAGGTTGGAGCATATATGGGAAGAAGCAGTTTCAGATAAAAATGTTTTGATTCCTACGTAAATGAAATTTTTCTTATGCTTTATACAGTGTCAATATTTTCTAGTATTTGTATTAATGAGAAATATTTTAGAATGATTATGATCGTCAAGCTGCCCAATATAATATATCAGACAATTTAACATGTTATTGAATACAATTCGAAATTCATTGGCTACAATTTACTTGAAAACGAATGAAGGTAGCTAGTTCTTAACTCGATCGTATTTTATGGAATTAATCATTGCCTCTTCGAAAGCATTCTACTTCATACTTATGCTTAGAAACACTTTCCCTAACATTTGAAAAAAAATGGAATGGATGCTTCATCTCCAATTGAATTTCGCAACTTCACTCACACTCAAACCCTTATAAAAAGAACATCAATGTAATTATTCAATAGTGAGACAAATTTTTTATTCTGCTCAGAAGTTATTCACATCATGTTATCTGAGAGAACTATTAAAATACTCACTATATAATAACACACCATTTGTCACAATCAATTTTATTCTTGCAAAATAACTGATTAACTGAGTTTTTATTTTTATTAAAATAAAATTTATTTGAATAAAAAAACTTCTCTCCCAGCTTATATTGAGACGAGAAGATCCAAAGAAAGAACATCTAATTAATAAACCTTCATTAGGCAGAAGGTGTGGGTGTTGGCATATATTGAAAGAAGACCCACAACCAACTCCGCTAGAAAGTTTGCTTTTCCTAAATAATGCAAATTACTATTCTTAGAAAGACTTCGAACGCAGCATACAGAACAATGGAATTATTTTGATGCTCTATAAATTCTTCACAACGTAATGTATAAGACACGCGTGTTGCAACAATGAAAAAAGAATAAAATATTATTATTTTTTCCTCGATGCATTCACCATAAATAATCTTTAAAAGAGCTACAGCTCCAATGATGCCGCAATACTTTTTAATGAATGAACGGGTTTCCATAAAGACCAATCTATCACAGCCTCAGTATTTGCAGAATGGCGTTCACAAGAAAGAAACTTATGCAACTGTCGCAGTTAATCAGCGTCAACCTAATATTCAGAAAAATAAAAAGTGAGAAAGAGTTCCAATTATTCGGTTTGAAACCAAGTCAGGTTTTTTTGGTTTTAGATGGACACTATTAACCAAACTATCAGAATATATTCCGTTATCAACATCATGTTGTTGTGGTCTATTATTAGGTATACTCATATGTGGTTTGATATTGGCTATTGTAATCGCACTTTGGTTAACATCACCAAATAATGCATTGGCAACACAGGGTGAATACACTAATTAACGAATCGTTTTATTTCTTTCTTTTGATAGTGCGCTCCTCGTTTTATTTCTCACCACCATCATAATTGTTAGGTAGTGGGCGTAAAACCTATATCAATAGTACTTATTCGACGAGTATTTGCATTTCTGGTAATGAATTGAACAGAACAGAGTGAAATAATGTAAAATGTAATTTTATGAAGATTTATGATGAAACCAAGTTAGTTTCTGTTGAGACAAGGCAATCAGTATCTCATATATATAGATAGATAGATAGATAGTTGAAGCAAAGTGAAATTCGAAATTTTCTCCATACAGCTATATGCTAAATAAATCTGCTTCCCATCTATTAAGTCTAGTGAAACCCGATGAAACTCCTATTCTGGAATTCGTCTATCACGGCCACGGATGGTCTGTGGAGCTTCTCTGTTACGGTCTGTATTGTGATATATGGAGTCTCTAGAAACTGTCACAGACCGTTACAGAGAAATTAATTAATTGACTATTTATTTCTCTGTAACGGTCTGTGGGGGGGGGGGCAAATTTCCCCTCTATATACTTAAACACTCCTTTCAGANATATACTTCAACACTCGTTTCTGATCGTGTTTCATAAAAGAGCTATCTCAAAAAAATTCATAATTTCAATTGAAAAAGGTAGGGCTCCTTTTTTTTCACATGCAATAGAAGCATTATAATATGTGATTTCTGTTTTTCTACAACAATAATACACGTGAAATTTCAATTCTTCAAGATTGAAATGTGTGCCTAGAACGGCAGAAGCCTTCAACGAAATTCTATGTTTATTATATTTCAATCTATCTTAGAAATTCATACTATGCACATGTCACAAGAACCAATTTTCGAAATGTGTGCACAATATTCATTTAAAAAAAAATATTTAGTAACCTTTTTCATGTTAAAATAAATGAATATGATAAATTAAAGAAAATCTTTCTTTTTATAATCTTTATGTGCGCAATGCATGACTCAATGACATACAAAATTTTCTATAAAGTGATTATTTTGAAAAATAAGTCGAACAGACGCAATTATACAATTACTAAGCTGTCTAGTCGGAATAACAGATGAAAATACTGCATATAACGAGGAGCTTATCTTCATGACAGTAGAAAGGATCACTATCCACGTCCCAAGAGTATATTCTTCTCATTTTTCTTAAATATGAATATTTATTTTATCTAATTGTAATAATAATTGTAATGATAGGTACAACAGACACGACAACTCCGATACCTGGTAATGTATTGCTTTTACTTCGCTCACTAAATTAGAGCTTTTCTTGAAAGACTTTATCGGGTAGTATCAAAGAAATTCAAATTGTACTTTCAATACATACAAAACCTTTTGAGCTATATAGAACATCGGATAGACAACAATGAGCAACAAAATATCATTTCAAACATCAACACACGACTTTCGTTTGAATATGAAATCAGAGAAAGCACCTATAGATATAAGGTGCACCAAGAGTAAAACTTGAGCAAAAAACATAGTTGTTTCTTTTTACATCATCTGATACAGCTAGTCACGCTGGTTTTGAATATGTATAAATATTTGTATTTTGATCGAGTTTTGGGTCTGAAAATACAGAAATACTAAACACTCGAAAAATAACCGGTCAATACACACTTTCGAAAACAAATTAAAATTCGTCATTTTATATATTTTATTGTTTTCTAAAACATAGTTAGCTGAATTCGGCGTTTCAAACTGAATATCATCGTGTAATTTCAATATATTTCGAATATCTTAGAACGTAGTTATTGTCTTGTCAAAGATCAATAGTGACAAAACAAATTGATAGCAACATCTTCATCTTGCAAACCTATGTAGTCTTTTATTTCGAAATATATATATCAATCGAATCGTCATGTATCAATGAAAAACATCTACGTATCGATTATAAATTATTCCTTTCCTTCGTTGACAAAAGGACTCGCCATTCATGTGGCTATTTACGAGAAAATTAGCAATTGTGGAAACCGTTGCTTTCCTTCTCATTTCCACTTTTATCATGACGGATAAGTAACGAATGTTGTACAATTTGATCCAAAGTAAAAATAACGATTTATATTTGACTTTAAATGCATCGAAATATGTTTTGAAGAATTTCAGTTAGGGCACTCGAAAGCCGCCAAGCTACCTCTTTCGTCCGGTTCATTTCTTCCTTTTCCGACACGTAGAGTACAATCCACTAGATAACAGCGGGATGACGATAGTTTTTAAAGACTAAAATCACAATGTGAGATTCATTCCTGTGTTTTCTCACCGCATTTGCTCTCTTCAAATCAATTAACATTAGCTCCTAAGAATTTAACTACTTATTTTTGACCAAATCTACTACTAATACCAATTATTTGGTGAAGGAGATAGAAATGAAGGTTTGTATGAGTAAAAAGTGTGAATCCATGCATATAAGTACAGAACTTTCAGGCGAAAGACCTTTGTCTCTCCATCGGATGAGTACATCAAAAAAAATTGCGAAATTACGCTTGTTTCTTGAAATTCATGAAATCGTACAACATTCGTTGCCTATACGTCATGATAAAAGTGGAAATGAGAAGGAAAGCGACGGCTTCCACAATTGCTAATTTTCTCGTAAACAGCCACATGAATGACGGAACATTTTCTCAACAAAGGAAAGGAATAATTTAAAATCGATACGTAGATGTTTTTCATTGATACATGACGATTCGATTGATATATATATTTCGAAATAAAAGACTGCATATGTTTGCAAGATGATGATGTTGCTATCAATTTGTTTTGTCACTATTGATCTATGACAAGACAATAACTACGTTCCAAGATATTCGAAATATATTGAAATTACACGATGATATTCAGTTTGAAACGCCGAATTCAGCTAACTATGTTTTATAAAACAATAAAATATATAAAATGACGAATTTTAATTTGTTTTCGAAAGTATGTATTGACTGGTTATTTTTCGAGTGTTTAGTATTTCTGTATTTTCAGACTCAAAACTCGATCAAAATACAAATATTTATACATATTCAAAACCAGCGTGACAAGCTCTATCAGATAATGTAAAAAGAAACAACTATGTTTTTTGCTCAAGTTTTGCCCTTGGTGCACCTTAAAAAAATAATTGCAAAAATTTGAAGTGCACTTGTTCAGCTGAATTTAAAATCTCGAATTTTACAACACTGCAAATACTATGAACCTTTCACCAATAGATTGCGCATGTTTCAGTTTTCCATAAAGTGAATAGCGTAAATGTTTCCTTATAGGATGGACACTCACCGGACACATGAATTATCCTCGATATGGTCACACAGCCTCTTTATTAGCCAATGGACACGTATTAGTTACTGGTGGATATGGCAGTACAGGTTATTTGAATAGTGCTGAATTGTATGATCCGTCAACAGGGTTATGGACAGTCACTGGAAATATGAGTTATACTCGATATGTCCACACAGCTTCTTTATTAGCCAATGGACACGTATTAGTTGCTGGTGGATATGGCAGTACAAGTTATTTGAATAGTGCTGAATTGTATGATCCATCAACAGGAGTATGGACCGTCACTGGAAATATGAATGACGCTCGATATTTTCACACAGCATCTATGCTAGCAAATGGGCAAGTATTAGTTGCCGGTGGATATGACAATGGCATTTATTTAAACAGTGCTGAGTTGTATAATCCATCAACAGGAGTGTGGACCGTCACTGGTGATATGAATTATACACGTTATAGACATACAGCGTCTGTACTAACAAATGGGCAAGTATTAGTTGCTGGTGGATCATATGTAGGTAATATCTTTCTCAATAGTACGGAGTTATATGATCCATCAACGGGAATATGGACACTTACTGGATATTTGAACTATGCTCGTGTTCTGCATACATCATCATTGTTAACGAATGGAATGGTAGTTGTTGGCGGTGGACGTCATATCGCTGGTGTTGATACAAACACTGTTGAACTGTACAATCCATCAGCAGGAATATGGACGGACACTATCAGTATGGGTTATAATCGATCTCTTTTTACAGCATCTGTGTTAACAAATGGGAATGTGTTGGCTGTAGGTGGATTCTTAGCTGGTAACTCTTCGGAACTGTTCAAATTATAACGAATCAATCAAGATTAAATCAGCCTAAGACAATTATTGAACTTTAATCATTTTCGTTTACTAATGTTTATATTATCCTTGTATTTATAACCTCGAATTGGTTGTATCCCGAACACATTTATCTTCTAACAACGAGTTTTCTTGCGAACATCCCATCATTCATCCTTATCCACACGCAAACATAAATGATCGTTTATTAAAATATTAATTGAATAACTATATGGATCTCACCGATTTGAAGAAAAAGAAAATACATTCATGGATATTGTTGCAGTGATTTCAGTTGTAGAAAAAATATTTTGAAAGACAAGATCAGGCTGTTTTCTTTGCTTATATAGGGGTTTATTCGTAGTAACAAGAGATCCGTAAGCAATTCACATCTCACAACTCCACACTCTCAAAATTATTTTTCCGTTGCGCACACTTAAACATTACCTTTTAGACCATGGCCATTTTTACGTTTTTCAATGGGTGTGGGTGTGGGTTTTCTTTCAATCTATACCAACAAGTAATATTCATCGACATCGAAAGTCAATTCACTGAGTCCTAGACTGACAGTGCTGATGAGAGGAAATGCATGGACAGGATAGAAAATCGGTTGTTTGTGCCAGCAGCTGATGGTGCTATGTTTATACAGACCTGGAAACGGGGTGGGAATAAATGAAACTGAAGTAAGAATTAGACGAAAATTAAAAATTTCAAGTAAAAGCAGTAAAAGTGAAGACGAAACACGGACAGAATGGGACTCAAAGACCCTTAAGGCGGCGGAGAGGTTGAGTCTTACCTAGCCACAAAAATACAAGGTTCAGAAATATCGTGATGTTTATCTCAAAGTTCCGTAGGGAGATCAGCTCGCCCCTCTACTGACCACATATTCAGAGCGGAGTGTTTCCCGTGAGCACGTCCTGCAGCCGTCCATGGTTTGTGTCGTAACAATGCCCTTAGTGGCATAAAAATAGTCATTTGTGCCATAAAAGTGGTCATTTGTATCATGAAAATTACTTATTTCCACCATAAAAATGGTCATGCGTACCACAGGAATGGTCGATTGCACCATGGAAATGGTCGTTTGTGTCATTGTTACAGACAGACAGATACAGGTGAATTATGGCTTCTAGACTCTATGCTTTCAGTCTAGGGAACACCAACACCCACACCCTCCAACCCATTTCTTTTTCGTCTCTGATTTGAATCATTTAAATGGTCGTCATACACGCAGTTTATTTATTTGAGTAGTATACTTTTTCTTATTAAAAACTACCCATATAGTGAGTAGCTATCATCACCATTAAGATAAAAAAGTAAAAATAAATTGTTAGTCTATAAACAGTAGCATTTCCCATGTTAGGTGTTGTAGTTATTTTTGCTGTTGTAATAGTTGTTGTTGTAGATGTTGCTGTTCTTGTCACAACTGTAGATGATACCCCTGTTTGGGCGGTTGATGTTGTTGTCATTGTTTTCGCTGTAGTAGTTGTTACACTTGGTGTTGTAGATGGTGTTGGAAATAAAGATGAATCAACTGATGGCATCCAATCGTACGACACCGATGTAGCAAAACCTAATCGATTGTTTACTATATCGAAAATTGAATAATAACGATATAAAAAGTAATCGCCTAAGATCCAAAAAAGATTGCCATTGGAATCACTCGAGTCCGATGGAGAGAAGACGGTACTACAAATGTAACCAGCCGATTGGTCACCACTAATCGACAGATATTGTAGTGGTGTTAATATAAATGCTGTATCACCTATTGTGAAGGTAACATTTGGCAATGAAGATAGTGAACGCTTATGGCAATCGACCGTATACTTAATGAATGAGAAGATTTAAATGATATTTTTCAAGCAGACTAGCAACAAGAGGACATACCATTTGACTCTGTGAGTCATAGGTAGCACCCAGAGCAATATTTATTGAATTAATTTGAGCTGTTGGTCCAATGATCAATGTTGTACCCGTATCAGCAATTGCATATGTTGATGAACTTACAATTGTTGATCCGACACTCACACTATTCATATAATGATAAAAGTAGGTGAAATAACGTGTTTAATAAACTATTACCTGGCCATTGGGAACTCCCAATATCCTTCTAGTGAAACAGATATATAAGTTATAGAACCTGTGTATTTACTCGGGTCTGCACCACCGAATATGAGTTCACCACCAGATGTGGCGTTAGTATCACTGAAATCATTATTAACATACGAGATATTTTACATTCATTCATGGAACACTTACGGATTTAAATAGAAAGAAAAGATAGCTTGTGGAATGAGACCTTGAGACCACATGTTGTAGAAGAATGGTTTTTCGCCATCGCTGGTCAAATTTGGAAAGGCAAGACCTAGAATGCCATCGTTCTTATCACCAGTCATACCTACAAGATATGTACATTCAGCAAATGTTTGGTTTTTGACTGCCATTCCATTAATCTGAATAAAATAAGCATTCAAAAATAGTCACTATTGAAGGATTTTCTTTCTTTTTCACGCTTGTTAGATGAGTGAAAATTCATCTGCATCATTTTCTTTAGTAGTTGACTACTTTGACGTGATTGAAGAAATAACTGAAGAGAACTAAGTGATGGATTCACTGATCAAGGGTGTGGGTGTCTAGGTGTGGATGTTGATATCTCTATTGTCAACATATATACACTCGCACCCACACACACAAAAAAATTTATCCCGTTTTACTTTTGGATCCCCAAGTTATCTCATTAACCCCTTTAGTCCTTTTAGTCCCTTCAAGTGCCATTAGCCCTTATAGTCCATTGAGTTTCGTTGGTCCCGTCAGCATCGTTTGGGGCCTTTTAGTATCCTTAGGCACCCTTTAACATCATTTGGCACCTTCACTTCAACGATACTCACATCGCCGTCCTGATCTGCATTTTAAAAGAACTAAAGGGACTAAAGGGATAGCTTGGGGATCTAAAAGTAAAACGGGATAACGTTTTTTTTCGTGGGCCTATGAAAAAATTAGGTATACAGCTCAATCCGGCTTTTTTAACTAATGTTTCCCATAGTAAAATTATTGATACGAGATCCCATCGACAATGAGAGAACTGATCACTAGATTCCCCGCATGAAAACAGCGCTGGTCAATAGAACCCGCTCACCAAAAAGGAGCGAATAATCATAGGTTTGAGCCCGCTCTTCTGACTCATTGAGCGGTGAGCTGTCGTATACCTAATCCTAGATTATAAGTGAACTCGAACATATAAAATATTGAAATGCACATTGGCTTTAAATAATCAACTAGTGATTATATCAATATCGAACTAATTCGTCTGCACATTTGATGTCTAGCTATGAACATTCTATTTTATCTCAATAATTTTTGAAATAATTTACTGTTACAACATCGACACTGAGAAAACCACTGGCTGAAGAACCATCACCATAGCTGATTGAAAATGTTTCCCCATTGGCCACATATGTTGTTGACTGTGCAGAATTATACTTATTGAAGCCATCTAAAAAAAATTGTGATCAAGATCTGAATAATATTTAATTAAGTTTCGATAACCTACTGCAAGACGATTGGCACTGGCTTGACGGCACCCATAGATCGGAGGAGCCTGTATCGAAGTCGATACGAAAGTTTTGAGGTGGCGTTCCGATTGAGATCGTTCCGATGAAATAGACCTGTCAACAAAAACTATATTTCAAGATTTATCGTCGATAAATTACCAATATAAGTGTTTCGATATCAAATCTTTTGCTCATGTCTATATTTTTGGCTATTTATAATCTATCAAAACTTCAGCAACGATCTTTTATTCTTGAAAATCAAATGCGATTACGACTGGAAAAAACTGAATGTTACTTTCGATTAGATAACCTAACGGTGGATTGGTACTCGCTTACATCAAGTTCATTGGTGAGATTTTCGTTAACAGAAGAGGTTGCTAAAGAAGTTTGGGCATAAGAGCTCAACGACTTTTGACGGTTCGCCATAATTTTCGTCGATATTGTAGAATTTGTTCTGTTAGACGACGGTCGGCGAGCACGATGAATAGCAATTCTAGCGACTCAAAATAGATAAATTCATACACCAATTTAGTTAAGCAAAAGTACTCACCGAAATATGTCATTGCCAACTGAGTTTTCACATAAGTGAACGATAATGAACATTACAAGTAATGTACTGGCCACCTTCAACATCATACTTCACCAGTTTTGTTAAGTCTACCAAGTATTAGGTGAGTGCTGTAATGTAGAATCAAAAGCAAATCATTTTAGTTACAGATGATGGAAGAAGCAACTTTTTTATTTTGATTATTACTCAATATATCTGAGTGCATGTCTTTGTTAACAAAATACTGGTGCGATTTTTTTTCCTTATAAGGCTCACTCATAGAATTGTCAGCGACGTTGTTATTCCTCTTTAGTACAATGATTCTGAGCAGAAAAACGTTCTTCATGAGTCGAGTTTCTTGTTTTCGACAAACACATCGAATGAAGATGAAGAAAAATAATTAGAGTCTCTCTTATGCAGAAAAAAAGAATTAGTTAATTTGAACCAGCACGTTAAACTTTGCAATTACACAAGAAAAAATAAATAAATACATAACTCCAGTGATTAGAATGAAAAGAAAAACTAATCATTTCTGAGTAATCTTGCGCGAAACCATTCATTGACGAAGGAAAGAAAAATCCTTCACTTCATATTATTATTAACTAAATGCATTGCAATACGCAATGAGACATCCGTCCTTTATTTGTTTTCAATAACATTTTACTTCACTATTTTGGTTGAGAGCAAATACTATTAACGCTACCGAAACTGAAAAGGCTGGATGGTTTGTACTTTGAATAACTTCAGCATGAATCACGCTAGTGATTTTTTATTTTTACTAGTCAGTAGAGTATATTAGGAAGTGTTGAAATATATCGGAAACGTCGAGTTAATTTTACTGACTGTTGTACCAAGGGGGAAAAGGCGGATTCTCAGGATTTCGAATCCCACAAAAATCTCGGGAATCCCAAAAATTCCATGAGAATCTTGGGAATTCCATAAAAAATCTGAGAAATCCAGAAAATATAATTTATATTCTGGATTAATAAAAGCATCAATCGACGCAATTTACGAAACAAACTATACAGATAAGCTAGTTGCTGTGAAACAAGGACTGTCTGCCATAAAAAGTATAATACAAATTCTTCTGAAATTCGTAATTCCCATCGTCGAAGAGAGCAAGTTGTAACATGTTGATTTATGACATGAATCTAGTTTATGCTCTTGATATTATAAATTGCATGTATTATCTACGTTGCATAAATAAAACAAAATGATGTATATAATTATCATGCTTAGAAAATTTAGTAAGACGCCTCCCCATGTCGCGAAAATTGTCGTGATTTTGGTGACTTTTTAAAAATCGGTCTATAAATCGCAACTTTTTCTGCTGGACACCCATTTAAAGAAGGAGAAAAAAATTTGCAATTTAGCTTGAGCTAAATGGTGATTCAGCTCACAGTAAATCGCTGATTTGTCTCCTTTTTTACATGGATGCCCAGCAGAAAAAATCGCTAAAATCACGACGATTTTGGTGACATAGGTGTCTTCAGTCGAGACAAATTATAATGCAACCCTATACGCAAAAGATCTGAAAAAGTCGTGTCTACACAGCGTATTATTGAACTATTCTAGTTAATACATATAAATAATAAAAGCAATTGGTATGTATAATAGAATCCAATCTAAACAAAAAAATTCGAACTCTTTCAATTATGATGCAACTCAAGGGGGATTGGCAGGTTCTCGGGATTTTGAATCCCATGGGAATCCTGGAATCAAATAGAAATCCAGGGAATCCAATGAATATCCAATGAATACTTACATTAGATGTCTGAATAACACTGAAATCATCACTCATACTCATGCATAACAAATATCCCTTCGTTCATTTAATATTGTGAAACCCGTTCCTTTAAGAAAACCACGCAGTGGTATGGAAAATGAAGGTGTGGATGTGAATGTTTCGTGTGGATGGAAAAAATACGTAGATCATCGCCCTCCTCGATATCGTAAACTGAACGTTCTGGGGTATAGTAGAAGCTATTGATTTCTAACGAAATAATGTGATCTCAATCGTTGCATCGAGTATAACTAGCTATTCGAAGTCTAGCGGTTTTAAAACATATCATAGGCATTGAAAGAATTCGATAACTATTCAGAAAAGTTACATGTCTGCACTGATAAAAAAAAGCGCTGAATGATAAACGTTTAAAGCGTTTATGAAAATGCAACACATGATATACCCTTTTTTACCGTTTAGCAGCATGCGTTAAACCCTTTTATCTACCCATCAAAAGACGAAATAAAAAGGTTTATCAAGTGAATATACCGTGTGCCGAAATGTTTATCATATAGCGTTTATACGACTGGACAACTTTAAAAGGGTGCATCATATGTTTCATTTTCATAAATCCTATCGAAGGTGTTGGAGAGTACTCTAACAAGTTATTTATTTATTCTTATACATTCTTGCTTCGTCTTTATACGTTATGTACTTCTTATATATGTGTTTCAACTCGAGATGCACATATGTTAACCGCTCTGTTTCATTTTCTGTTTCCTCTCTCTGCATATCTCTCTATTGTGTCTTCTTTCATCCCGTGCGTGACGACATAAATAATGGCATCGTTTCTTCAACTGGAATTTAAGTACATTTATAGAATGATGCACCATCATCTTTAGATACCAGATAGTCTAGTCTAAGAAACAAATGCCTTTTTTTCCTTTGTTTCTTCTCTCTCTCTCTCTCTCTCTCTCTTGTGTGTGTGTGGGTTCCCATGTGAAAATTTTGTGCGTTCAAACGCAGAGCTGAACGCGCTACAGCTGCGTTTGAAATGATAAGCACGAAACGCATTGAACGCAGCTAAAATGAAACATCTGATGCATCTGAACGCGTCTTTCGGATGCCTCTGAACGCGTTTTGTAAACGCACCTAAACGCATCTAAATGCTTGATGAAAGATCTGATGCGTTCGGACGCGTTTGAAGAAATTTAAGGAAAAAATGAACATCTTGTCCTCGGAAATTTCTTGCTGCGGCACCATCATAACCACATAATGGTCAGCTCTTTCCTAGAGGTATAATACAGAACAAAGAATTTAACTTACGACATGGAAGAGAAGCGCGGTGATGAAGGCTAGAACAGAAGAACTTTGAATTGTAGAACAAGTTACTTACCTCTGAGCTATATCTCCTTGTCAGAGTGTTTTGCTGTCAACAATATCTTTTTAATCACTTACAACTAACACGACTAGTTGAATGACAGAATACAATTATTAAAATAAAATAAGAGCTATTTTATACTGATAATTTTTTTTATAAATATTCGAATCTTACATGATGAACTATCTAGATTAAATTAAACTATTATTTGGCATTAAGCACAATCATTATCTATTTATTTTTCGGAATAAATTTATAAAAATTGAACGAAATTAATTTTTCATAAGCAAACGACTTTTTCTGTACATCTGTTGGAAAAGTTTACCACTATGACTATAAGCTTGCTATAAACTTTTTAAGATTTAAAAAATAAAATATGCCGAACCGTTGTATATTACGTACTATTTAAAATTTGTCTGTAAAATAAGGCAATAAAAATATTTTCATTTTCAAGAAGGCAATTTACTTTTATTAGTTTTACATTTCAACTATTTAATTAATTTATCAACATCAAAACTAAAACGCAAATNGGTGAATGACTAGATAGCCTATCTAAATAAACTAATGATGGCGCTTTCTGTTTTATTCAAGATCTTGTGAGAAGATAATAGTAAAAGAAATCGTTGCCATGATCTTGCTAAGATCTTAGGTACAGATTTATCAGATAGGACAAGATCTGAACAAGCGAATTATCTTTTAAAGATCTTGATAAGATCTTACCTGCCAATCCCATGATTTCAAGATCTTACTTACAAGATGTTTCACTAGGGTAAACATACTTATGTATTTTTCGTACATGTTTCAGACTGAAAATAAATGGGTGTGGCAATCGTGAAATCGATAAAATACACAATATAGCTTTGCATAATCTCATTCTCATAAGCTTAATTAAAATTTATCATCTTCATTTTTATAGAATAAAAAGCTAAACGATATTGTCAAAATTCATTGCTACATTCATCAAAATTATTTGCTTCTATATTGACAAATATGTAGTAACTAATTTAGAGAATATATTTTTAATAGAAACGATTATAACATTTGAAAGGCACTGCACAAGAAACGACCCTGACCTTACATGGATGAGTCTACACGCGATCATAAATAAAGAAGCGTGCAATCTTATATTTATTTTCACACTTCTGACACATGTTTCAGTTTTAGGTGCGTCAGGATGCGACTCTTAAGCAGAACGCGTCCAAATGCATCTTGAAAACGCGAGTGAAAGCACTCGTAACTCGAGATGCGTTCGACTGCCTTTCTCTCCTGTAATATTATAAAACGCGTTTCAGCTGCACATGCATCTAGACGCGGCTGTTTGTCCAAACGCATTCAGACGCGTCTTTGGGATGCGATTGAACGCGATTACGAACTCAAATGCATTCAGACGCGTGTTTGGGACGCGATTGAACGCGATTGTGAATTCAAACGCATCTAGATGCGTCTTTGAAAACGCGGCTGAACGCTATTTTCTCCAATTTTGTAACATAATCGCGTGTAGGCGCGTTTAAAACGCTTCAAAACGCGTTTTACGTGCGTTTCAGTTTTACATGGGTTGTATAGTATAAATAAGAAAATATTAAGATTCATATTAGTGGTGGTCTTCTAGTGTTACTTTACTAAATAAAGGTAAATGAATCATTTATCTTTGAAAAATAAATGATAATTTTTTTTTCGATCCTTTATCTTTAGAAAATAAAGATAAATGAATCATTTATCTTTATCCTTTAGTATAAAGGAAAATAAAGATAAAGAGTCACCCCTAATTCATATTAGGAATCGAAAATAGGAAATTTGTTGTTGATTGGTTAAATAGAGATATAAATTTCTATTTGTGAATTGATTTAAGTTACAGCTGGGCCTCTGTAACATTTTATATCTCAGGTTTTTCAATATCTTCATATTAAACACAAAAATGCCTGTTTATCTTTGCTCATTTTTGCTGCCATTATTATCTACACTGCTATATTGTAAAAATCAAACAC